ACTGTTCAAAAACTCATAGATGATAATCAAAGTGTAAGTCTCTTGATCGTCAAAGTTCCCGACTTACATAGCGATTGTGGCTCTACAATGCTACAATCAGGGTATCCCTTGTGTCATTGAATGAGGAACTCTCCTTATTGATAATAGCGTTCCCGCATCTTAGGCATTATAATTTTGCTGCAGTCTTAGCAAGAAGAACATGAAATCAGTTTGCTCTCTAACGCTTTTGTGCCTGCAATACTCTTATTTTCGTACTTATGATTTTGAAAATAAAATCATTCAATAGCACTTAAAGCATAGATCTTTCTGCAATCTTAAACTTGTCAAAATATGATACTTGATGTAGAACATCTAATACCAAATTTAAATGGAGTACTTAGAGAAGTTTTAATGTTCCTCTTGCCAAAGCCACAGCATAATTGTGACTTTAAATCGTAGGAATGCTATTGTCAAAGTGCTTCACTATCCCATGCCGTTTAGGCTAAAAGGAAAAAAAGTCACGGATAACCCGCAACATACTACGGTAGGAGGCATAATGTTTGTCAATACAGCTAGTAGTGACTAGTTCTGATACGTGTCCACAGATAGCTCATTGGTTGTCACAAAGCTAATAAGATCAAGCAGCCATACAGACAAGACCACTAACTCTGATTAACCCATCTTTGGATTAGTGCTGCCTAGCCTCGCTTGTTTGATAATCGTTTTGGTCCAAAGATACTAGTGCGGAGGTGACAATAATTATGCCTCCTACCGTAGTAGAGCGCAACCACTTAAATATATATATATTATTCTATTTAACGTCCGTTCGGTCCCTAATTATAGGGCCATGCAGACAGCTACCTAGCAAGGGAAAAGCCTAATAAGGAAAACCCTAGACTTACCAGACTAGGTAAGCACGGCTATCGCAGGGGTCAGAGATTACCCCGCGAGGCGCCTTCGCCCCACCTGCGTTTCGCCTGCGTACCTGCCCCCTCCTGTGTAGTCGTCCTTTCAACCGTACACCGAATATCCTAGAGGGTCTCAACCTCTGCCGTTACCACTCCTCTGCTGCATCGAACACTCTGTACCCTCCTAGCTCCTCCTCTGCTATCTCTTTTGCGGTGCGAAATTGCTCTAGGATCCCTGTGCGGATAAACCAGCGAGCCGCGTGCTTTGCGCATGCGGGTTAGAAGAGGATCTCGCTTATGCGCTCTGTTCCGCAGGCAGCTAGCATGCCTACTCTGTTATATCTTGGGCAGTGTAGCAGGATATGGCGAACTGTTTGCGTATGCCAGCCGCAGGCGCAGGCAGGGTTAGTATCTGGTACTTGGATAGCCGCTAACCATGCGTTCAGGCCTATGACCTCTGACCGCATTAAGAATAGTGCCGTTGCCTCTGCCTTCGTTAACCCTGTGTATAGCATGCGAGTGTCTTGTCCCAGGGAGTAGACCAGATTGGTAAGTAGGTTCCTTTCGTTAGGTGGTCTCCTTGGCCTAGGTGGTCGAGGGTCCTGGCCTCTGCCCTGCGGTGTTCGGCAAGCCTGCGTTGCGCATGCGGTTCGCCTGCGGCGCTGCCACTCCGCTGTCCACTCGCGCATTTCTTGGATTCTCTGTTGCGCTTTGGCGGCGGCATTCTCTCTGCTGGTCCTCGGCCTGTGGCATGGCCGTGATGAGCGTGCGTTTCGCATGCGGTCCCATATGGCATCCGCTGTTCTGGCGATCTCCTTTTCTACCTGATGGTCTTTTGTTTTGATCGCGTAGCGTTGCTTTATGCCTGCAATGTGGATGTCAATTGGCGGGACCTGGTTTCCCTTTCTAGCGCTGCTCTGGGCGTTCGCTTGTATACCCCTGTGATGCGGCGGAGGCATCTGTTCTGGACCTTTTCGAGTGGTTTGGTTGCGGCTTTTGCTAACGCTTCCCCTGCGCCTCGCATGCTCGAACCCCACTCCTGTACGCCGTACAGCAGAGTAGGCCTGACTACTGCAGTATACAGTAGCCGCGAGTTGCGTGTTGATGGTCCCCAGGTAGAGGTAGCTAGTCTTGCTAGGGCCTCAGAGGCTGCGATACCCCTGCGAGTCGCAACCACTTAAATACAGTACCCCTCAACTCTGGCCACTTCAGCTTGGCGTTCCCTGACAGCTATTCTCCCGGGTGCAGCCGGTCTAGGACCTGCGCATCCTTGGCATCTTGGCGCCAAGATACAGTTATGTGATTATCTTATCACTTCTTTATGTATCTCCTTTGCTGCTTTGTTCCGCGGACATCGAATCTTCGATCATAGAGAAGAGATTTGGGGAGCAATCTTCATTGAGCTTTTTATAAGAATGGTATGTGATGTGCGCAGAGACGGTGGGACTGTCCCAGCTTAGAGCGTTACGCCGATCTGTCTAGGTTCCACTCTAGGCACGATATCACACTACAAGATACCGCGTCTGATTGATTGCTTTCAACGCTTGCAGGTTTACGATATGTCCAGTCCGAAGTACGCAGGACTGTATTACCGACGCAATATTGTTCTTGGGCACAAACTGACTTGAGTTGCGGCCCTCTTCCAGGCATGACAGACAACCATATCTCTTTTCTAAATCGAGAGAGATCATCCCCAGTGTGTAATGCGGGTTGCAGTCGACCACCACTATACGGCCTTTCAAGATTTTAGTGCCTTCTGTGCATATATCACACAAACCTTCGACCATATCTGCCAAACCGTAAGATTCGTCTCTTGTTCGGAGGCAGCTTCGGAGCGCGTAATACTGATCGAAACCTTCCTCCTCCAGCGCCACGCTGTTAGGCGTCCCCAGGATGCTCCAGTCCTTGGAAAAAAGCCCTTGCGACCGCCTTTGCACACCTCTGATTTGCAGATGTGCTGTCGACAACAGTAGTGTCACGGCGGGGTGACCGCCCACCGAGGGTTCTTGTCCGTCACTTCCCAGGCACATTTGGGCCATGCGATTGCAAAGGTTTGCCCAACACTGGAATGCAGACGATCACTGTGCGGCTTTCCCCCACCCTTTTGAGACAACTAGCTTGATTCTTAACCAATCTCTGGAGAATCCGCTGGAGAGGCGGCCTTTTTACTGGCTGCGCTTCGAACGCCAGCTCACAAAGCGTGGAGAAGATGCCGTCCTCCGACTCGGGCATAGGTACTGAGCCAAACAAAGCAAACTGGGATCCCTGAAGCTCATCGGAGGATTGGCAAGGTCAAATCGGACAATTTAAGCCAGTCGAGTCACCGCCCGCTGCGCTTTTCGCTCCAGACGGCGCTCCAGACGGTGAGACTTGCCAGCAGGATTTCGTTTTGGCGAGAACTCTGTTGCAGTGTACCCATTTGAATCAGATGCTTGGCAAATAAATCAAATCCATGTTTTCGTCAAACCAAATCAAGATGTTGAAATTTGACAAATTACGGAGTACTAACTACTATGGTCAGACAAAGGTCTTGGCAGAAAAGTCTTTTCTTTGGAAATATTTAGTGTCATTTTTAATGAAAAGATAAAGTCTTGGCGGAACCTTATTGTGAGATGAAAATCCTTATCAGTTCTCCTAAATTAAACATTGCTTGCAGAGTACTACTAGCTATTTGACTCCATTTGATAACCGAGTCAAATAAAATCAAATCGACCTCTGAGGTTAGATAGTAGGCAAGTCAAACGAGGGTCATGATTTGGTTGATTTTATTTGATGGATACACTGCTCTGTTGCTGTGGATCGGCTATTCGTGCGAGAGAGCATCATCTGGTCGGGAATTGCTGCTGAAGACACCATAGTACTAAGCGGATATGGCAATAGATGAGCGCCGCGTTTGCGCGCTTCAGCGAAAGCCGCCAGACGGCGCGGATCGTCTATTTCCCAGAGCTTTTCTGGATAGAAGCCGACGTGGACAAGTCGATTCGCCCTGGCTATTCCTGTAGCCGCTTCTGTTATCAGATCGTGCCGCTTCTGTTATCAGATCGTGCCGCTTCAAGACGCTGCTCCCTGTCTACTGATACATCAGGTGATTGGGATGCCCGCCAAAGAGGAATGCCTGGCGGAATTTGTACCGGCTGTCAGACTTCGGGGAGTTACTGAACTTACTTCATGGTCAATGGGTCCACCGCAACCAGGACTCTTCTTAGGCCCCACACAAGGGAAGGAACGTCAGTTTCCGGGTCTGGATAACGCGTCGTTGTAACTTCACGCCGTATCAATGACGAATATGGCTTGAAGCGACGCCAGAATCTCGTTCGTGAATGACTCGTGCCGCTGCTGAAGGAGTGATTGCTCGTCCCCGACGTCCTCACAGGTAGCAGATCGGTAAGGTATATGATCCAATATCATCGTACGCTCCGCCGGAAAAGCGTCCTCCATGTGCCCGGATTGCAGGGTATCCATCAAATCAAACAAAGCAAATCGAGGCCCTGGTTTGCTTCGATTATTTAATCAAAACCCATCGTTTGCTTTGTTTGACTGATTTGTCAAATCGAGTCAAATCTTAGTAATCAGTACATTTCTAGGGATTTGTGTCAGACAGGTAGAAGAAATGGCCCTCTTCTCTCTTAAGGTGCAGGGCGAGCAGAAATAAGTACAAATCGTGGCGAAAATGACCAACCAAAAGCAGGCAAAACGCAGGGTAACGCGTAGAAATAGTAGTAGTGTCTGATAACCTATGTAGTAAATTCTCTTCTCAAGCGTCCGCCGAGACTATTATTATTCCATCGAAAATATCCTTAAATGTTGAGCTGTCCAGACTTCAGTTTGACTAATTTGTCAAATCCACAGAGGCCAATTTGCTTTGACGAAAGCACCGATTTTATTTGACTTGCCAAGCATGCGGTTTGATTTGATTGACTAATTTGAGTTGACGGACACTGACAGATTGTACAAATCGGCGGTCTCGCTGTCCTCCCAGCGCTCTTCACTTATCGAGAAAAATGGTTGATTGAGGTAATGGGCGAGTGGGGAGGTCAGTGATCCGGATGGTTTCACCAAGTACCTCACACCGTCCTTCTCTCCTTGCTTCTTTGATATTGCGAGCGCCTCTGTTCAGTCGTGTATGAGGCCCTCGATTACTGCCGTGCTCCGCAAGAGCCATTTCGCGAGCTCATTCTGTTCGCTCTTCAAGCCTTGCCGGGTCCTCTCATTGACTTCCGCGCCAGCTGGGTTCGGAAGCCTCAGCTCAAGGATCTTAAAATTGAGGCCATCTGGCGTGACAGCGTTTGATGGGAGAGGCCAACTGCGCTTCACTAGGGTATTCGAGGTTATCTCTTCGGTCAGACGCCTAGTGCCCGCGAAGCTATACTTGTAGTTGAACGCGTTCTCTTGCTCCTTGGGGGAGGCTGGCGTGATTTTCGGATCCCTCGATTTGAACTTGGCCTTCGACTTCCGGTCGTTCTTTCGGGACGCTGTCTCCCTGCGTCTGCCTTTCAGCACTGTTTCCATTAAGATATCCGTAAATATGTCACAAGATGCCGGGCTGAGCTTACGTTGACTCTTGTTTCAGGAACTACATTGGAGTTTCCAATGTCTCTTCTCATAATCACAGCTGGAGCACGCTCCTCCCCTAACTTCCTTCTCCGCACCAGTATCTACAAAATGCAGACTTACAAAGGACTGTTGCCTACCAGCAAGTGCCTGTCACATGACATTACTTTCTCTATATAAGCTCGTGACTATAAAAGCAATCACCTATTGACTCTCTTATTTCACAAGTGCGCTAACCTCTCTCAACCCAGGGGTCCCGTGTTGCTACAAGATCCATCATCTACCAAGAATTATAGCGCTTCTCGTGACGTTGCCTCCTTATATTTAGCGCTCTCTAATTTCGCCATGCTCAGGCTCCAAAGCCAGCAAGCACTCAAGCCCCTTCGTGACCCTCTTCGCGGCCCTCTTCGCAATGCTCTTCACATACGCCATGTTCATGTTGAGCAGGCCCCATTCTCTGGACCTCCAAGCTATGCAACTATTGCTCGGCGCTCCTCTTCGCATCCAAAGGCGAAGGAGGCTAGAGAGCGTAGTGAGCTCATAGACATTCACGAGACTGGAGGCGCGAGTCCGAACGACTCTAATATCTTAATCACTGATATAGACGATAGAACACTACGATCCGAAGTTGCGGAACTCATAGGGATACCATACCTTAAGAAAACGACTAAAGTTGAAGCCACCAACAAGGTCGACGTTATTCATGGTTTTATCTATAGCAATAAACTCCGTACACCAGTATTTCCCATGTATTGTCGGTTCAAAGGACAGGGCTCATTGGGTTTTCCTTATGGTGCCCACTGATACCCCGCTGACGTACCTCTTAGTTCAGGTGAGTGCTCCTACCAACATTAGAAGAAACACCTGGCCGCTGACTTAGCTCTAGGCCGCCCAAGTTCTAGGTACCAAAAGGGGCCCTGTGCCTGTTACCATCGCTGGATACACCCACCTAGTTCATGTGTAAGTAGCTTATGTCTGACCAACCCCTCTAGGGAATGTCCATCTAGGAATTTGCGAGCGGTTTGACGTGTAGTAGACGTTGTTACTACACGACTTTATATTCAAAGTTCCCTTCCATCTCATGCGAGACTTGAACTTATGAAAGGGTCTTTGTGTCCTAAAGTAGCTAGCCTTATCCACTTTATGCTAAAGCGTCAAAAGGGCTCAAAATTGTTGGACCAAAAGACCGTCTTGGCGGACTGGTGAAATAGTTATGTCTGACAGAAAAGAAACATTAACGAAACCTTTCCAGGCAATCCCCACTTGTACATCACGCACAACGGCACAGTATTCCAAAAGGTTCAAACGAAGCAAGGACAGCGGCATGCTCGTCGGCAACGGAGAACCGCAAGCACATGCTGAGGAGAATGCTGACCTAACAATATGATAATTTCACATGGGGGCCTAGTGATGCGAGATGGAAGTGATCTTGAATCTCTTGAATCTTGGTCTCTTGAATTTGGATCTCTTGAATCCATGTAACATTACAATACTAACTTGAACCAGTATTAATCTGACATTGAACAACTAGCACAGGGCATGATAGAAGGGACTTGAAGAATACTTTATGCTAATTATATTTTGGATTACTGGCACATCGTTGAGCAACATGATAGCAGGTTACAAAAGCTGGGTGTTCTTGTTTCGTAACCAGATGGTACAATATGAAAATTTTCGGTCAGATGAAGCACCTAGTTAGGAATGACGACACCGAGTGGTTTCAGTATAACGATGCCGAATTCGCGCACTTGCAAAAGCTCAAGGCTGGTACCAAGGCATATTATGAAGAAATCAGGAGACTGGCCCGAGAAGGTCAATTTGTTTTTTTGCAGCGACTACGCTTCGTCACAGTACTAGCACCAGAATATTTGACCAGGCCATAGTCAGGTAGTACCTCCACAAGAATTTCGTGACGTCAGTTGTGACATTATCAAGGCTCATCGGCAAAACTTGGAAGTCAACGAAAAGGCCATGAAGAAAGCGCATCTGAAACGACTACGGATGGACTTGGAGAAGTGGAGGGCCGCTGGCAGTCCGCCGGACGCGATGCCACCCCAGCTTAGACTCAAGGAGCTCCTTAACCATTGCAAGAACCAGCGGATCCTCACTAACATATCTGGACTGTATAAGCTGCAACAGACCGGCAAGCTCGATCTTGGAGGAGATCCAGGACAAAGGATGGTTCAAGAAACCACAGAAGTCACTATACTATCTGAACATTGAAGCCCTGTACGATTCAAGAAGGGTGACCAAGCAGGGGCCAAGATTCCGCCATTGCCAGTCAAGAAGGTCATCCGACGGCCGCCGAAACGCCGCAAGGTAGGTGTATACATGAATGATACCGTGGTGGTGGACCCTAAGCAAGGCGCCAATGTGCTGATCTGGCATCGACTGTTGCCTATCGGGAAATCTTACCTATTCACTCCGTTACCCATTCAAGACCTGTCTACCGGACGGCTTGCATCCGCCCCTAAGGCAATTATGAACGACGATCCACAAGCCATACCTTTTGCGAATTTCGGGGATCAAGCCCAAATGCTTTTGGAAATGCAACCAACAGCAATGGAGGAGATACATGGAGTTGGTGGCCTTCCCCAAGTGCTGGCTGTCTTGTCAGAATTTTCAGTTGAGGTGTTTATTATTCATTGTGTAAGTGAATTACTTTGCGATAAGATACTGTCTGATCATTACACAGGGTTCTGGCTGGTATCTTAGCTGTATCTGAAGCGAGGTCGAGAAATAGCGACAGTTGCGCAAGGCATTCAATAGGAGGGGGAGCATCTCTGATCCGTCATTTCATGAATAAGCCAGACCTCGAAACCCAAAAAGAAAGTCCGGCGGACAAGCGAATATACATAGTGCAAGGGACGATGAAAACGTTGTCAACGGGCTACAGCTTACATCGTGCGAACACAGGAGTGATTATAGAACCCACGATCAACCCGATGTACGAAGAGCAAGGAGCAAAACGAGTCAGCAGGCTCAGTCAGACTGCTACCAGAACAACTATTTGCGACTTGTGGCGAAGAAATCAAAGATCGAGAGCATGATTATGCTAATTCAGCATGTACAGGCTGACAGTGCTCAACTCACAATGTTATATCTTGGTATAGACGAGAATCCGACAAGGGCCAGCGGTATCAACAACGACAAATAAGACCGATAGACAGGAGCTTTCATATTGCACCGACCACAGAATGACTCCTTCTAACCGCAAGGATATTGTACTATTGGGTTGTGTACTACTACGGACACTGTCTACGGTTCATACTAGATGTTGAGCTGACGACAGTCGACTGTATATAGTCTTTGGTTCATCAATAGACATGAATGTCACTCTTCGGCAGGTTCCCCTGTTGCAGACAGAGATGCTTTCTCTCTTGGAAACGTGTGCTCTTGTGAGTGCCTGCTGGCGATGGGGCCATGTTCATGGGAAATGGGAAGACAGAAAGACACTTATGCCGTGAGGCAGATGTCGTGGGCCAAAAGTGCTGGTGGTAGTGGTGGTGAGGAGGCGGCAGCTGGGGTCAGATTTGGGATGTGATCCGCCATGGGCAACTGCTACAAGATCAAGAGACGGTTTGAAGATGAGAGCATAAGTAACGGATTGGCCACTCTATAGTCCTGATCTGAATCCAACTGAGCACCTCTGGGCGCAACTCAAGCAGTGGATTCTGGACCATTATCAATGAAATCTCCTTGTCTACAACGTATTTTGTTGAAAATATGGTCATAGTATAATCGAAATAGTATGCTTCTCTTCTCATATTAAGATGGTTTTCATTTGACAAGATACTAGCTACTATTTCCACTAACAGCACTTGGTTCATATATCTAGCCACCCCTTCTCCTGGTAAGTGATTATCAAAACTGAGGATTTTATCGTACATAGTAAACAGTGCAAAGTCCGACACTGGATAGTGGCTCCCACTAATTTCGCGTCTGCATAAGTCAAAGTGACTAGGTAGTCGTCTACTATCCATGCAGTAGCTTCGGCGTCTGGTGGTACCCAGTCTTTAACGGTTGACAAACCTGCGAAGTTGTTGACGATTGTTGAGAGCTGGGTGACCCAGTCGATGCAGACTCCGTGCGAAGGCAAGTATTTTCCTTCGATGGAGGTATGGAGATTTGTGCCGTGGTCAGATGGTAGGAAGCCATACAATTATCCTCATTGTGCAGAGTTGCGACTGAGACAGGCTACTTGACCAAAGGGTACATTCCGATGGGGAAAGTCCAGCCAGGAACCCAAGACGGCATGTCTCTCACGTACTTATGCACCAAGTAATCGGGTTGACTTAGGCGTTGTACCGCCTTCTCGTGTCAAAGACCATCTTGCAATGTCTGTGTAAATGTCTACAAGGGCTTGTCGTAATCATGGGCGATTTCGTCAAGCGACACATCCTGAGCAAGTGGGGGCGGAGAATAGACTTTATCCCTGAGGCCTGTGCATGATGAACTTCGAAAACACTGTAGCAGGTCTAGAAGGTACAATGGTTCTGTTGCTCGTTAGAGGCTAAACTTCAAAAGCGTCTGAGCTGCTGAAAGATTTCCCGGAGAGGTATTGATATGTGGCATTTAGCCAAGGTGAAGGTCCACAGCGACTGCGGCCACCACCAAAATTGTAGCCGTAGTAGAGGTATACCTTGCATTCTTCCTCTGACTCCGGCACACTGGCTTCCTGGTAGACCCAGGCTCGATGCCACCATGTGGGGTTGCACAGAGTAATTATTCCCAGCCGGGCCTTAACGTTTCTGACCCTTTGTCTTGGCCGAATACCTTATCATCATCACCAGATATAGTGGCCAATGCTGCGATGGAATCGTTGTTATTTGCCTCGATCGCATCATGAAGAATACCATTGAACCACTGCATTTTTTCAACGCCGCGACTGGCCTGCTCGCGATTTAAAAGGCCGTCCCAGCCAGACATAGACATTGGTGGCTTGCTCAAAAATTCTTCTCATGTATTGGACTTGCACACTTCGCTCGCTAAGGTCTGCCGAACTGGTAGAAGAAATGGCTCTGCTCTCTCTCCAAAAAGTCGCAGGGCGCGCAGAAATAAGTACAAATTGCAGGGAAATTAGGAGCGAAATTGCGGCAGGAATTGACCAATTAAAAGCAGGCGAAATGCGCAGGGTTTTCGCGTAGAAATACTAGTAGTAGCGTCTGACAAGATCTGGTTTATTGATGCGGATGGCGTCCGCCAAGAGGCGGTGCTCCGATTCAAATTGACAACGTTCTCCACAAGAACTGTCAGGGCATCTTGTAAAGCACGACGGACTGTTACAGGCTTAGGGCGAAAATCAAATCTTTGGATTTTCCAAATCCATTTCGAAATTTAAGATCGACTTAAAACATCCTCTTCAGGGCACTTTCTTAAGAAAACTTTCTTAATGCCACCCTCTTGAGGACACCAATCCTCTTAGGAGCACCCTTTAGAGGCACCCTCTTATAGACATCAAAATCAACCAAGTAAGTCTTCATACGCAATTACATGCAGTATTAGGTTGGGATAGAACGATCAGTAAGGGCTGCAGGCGATCCTAAAAGTTGCAAAACGGGTTTGGAAAATCCAAAAATTTTAACAGTCTGGTGCCGCAAAGTGCATCCACCAATATGGATCTTGTGCTCCAACTCCGTCCGTATGGCCTCAAGTATAAGATAACGCGGTACACGCTGGTGCTGTATTGATGCTGAAACGAGCACTCTCGAAGCAAGGTGGATCCTGCGAAAGCAATCCTGGATCCAATTGATCGTGGTACATCATTACTGCACCATGGATAGTCTAGCTAGGATCTTCTCCTTTACATAGCAATGCTCCATAGACCTCCATCTCCAGGCGAGCGGATTAAACACTTTCACCGCCCAACCTCTCACAGTGCGGTCTGATTTCCCTCGCTCGTACCATACCATTCTGTCCTTTTCTTTACTTGTGACCTTTGAGAATTTTGTTCTCATCCTTAGCGTCCTTGCTGCTGAAGTTATGCTGGGTGACAATCAAATATGAGCAAATAGCAAACAGCATGTTGCATCAGCGGCTAGCCAAGACAAGGCAGGAGCCAATGAAATTGAAACGGGGAGGGGGAAGGAATGGAAGAATGGAAAGTTAAGGAACGAAGCGAGCGAATGACATACCTTGTCCTTGTCGGGATCCTGGGGCGGTTCACCAATAGCAAGGCAATTGAGGTACTGAAAGGGAAAGGGATGGCAAAGAAGGCAGTGAATCTGGGTCAAAGCCTATTTGGGTCGAAGAATAAAGAAGAGGGGCAGGAGGAAATGGAATGGAGGGCAGTCCCATAGTGGTATTCGTTACTTCTGGGCCTTCTGGGCTGAGTGCCGAACGGCATTGTTGCTGGTGCTTGGGAAGACTCTATGTGATCAGGGTATCCATCAAATCAAGCAATGCAAGTCGAGGCCCCTGATTTGCTTGGATTAGCATTTAATCAAAAATCGTAATTTGCTTTATTTGACTGGGTTGTCAAATCCGGTCAAATCTCAGTAAACAATATATTTCTGGGGATTTACTTGAAGTCTCGTCTAGTTCGAGTGTCCGCCAAGACTATTTTTATCCTATTAAGAAATATCTTTAAATACTGATTTCAAAAACAAGGGTCTTTTTTGACAGAGAATGTACAACGGAGCATGTAGGATCTGTTACATAATGTGATGGTAGACTGGCTAAGAAACTTGCGTGGGATTAGCGGCGGCATACTACGTGGATTGCTCCCTGTTCCTGAAGTTGAAGTTAGGATAGCCTTATTACACTAGTTGTCTTAAGGCTAGACATGTTGGAGCAATTGTCCATGATATGTTGTTGTCAACCTGCTGTGCAGAGTATGTAGAAAGCAAGCTGTTCGATAGCTGGGGCTTTAGAGAGCATTAGATCTATGTAAAATGGCCGTGCCGTACCCCGTACAGCGAAATTCGAAGCGAAATTGCAATAGGAATTGACCAATCAAAGGCAGGCGAAACGCAGGGATTACGTGTATGAAAAATCTGGCCAATAAGCCCTCTCAGAAGTTCAACAGTTGTGGATGGGAAATATTTTATTTGAAGACTCGCTAGCTTCAGCAGCTCCTCACGAATACAGCCAACGTCTGATCTGGTCAATTGAAGGATTGGACCACCACCGACCACAATGCTCCTGATTTCTCACCACGACAGCAATCTGCTTGCCTCCAGCTCCATGCCATGATTCATCATCCTAACTTGCAGACCCGCCCTTTCTGCCAGCCTCCTTGGCCTGCTCACTCCCAGGTTCAAAGCTGCCACTGCTCGCATGACCACCTTTGCTGCCAGCCTCTTTGGCTTTCTCACTGCCGGGTTCGAAGCTGCCGCTGCTTGCTTGACCACCTTTGCTAGCCGCCTCCCGCACTTCTTCCTTAGGGCGGTTGGCGAAGTTGCCGGGGTTGTCGTTGCCTGACATGTTTTGTTTGGTAGAGTAGGATGAGGATTGCTTTGATTGTTGTTACGGGTTGTGATTGATGTTTACCGGATGTTCGATTGATGGAATGTGAATGTGTTGGGTAGAAGGCAGAGAGAAGATCGAGAAACCAGTTCGGCTTGGGACTTTGAGGGTTCTTATATACTAGATCTCAGCTAGAAGTGAATGGTCCGGGAAGCGATGCGGGGTTCTGCTGAACGATTACATCGTTGTGAGGTCATTATTGCGGCGTGCAGCAGGCAGCAGCACAAATACAGCAATTACATGAGTCTCTGAGGGCTCAAATTCAAAGGCATGTGGTCTCAGCATTGGCTACGTGGAAGGATCCATTGATGACTCTCACTTTCTCCGCCTCCTGTTGTAGTTATATTGCTTGACCCTTTTGGGCAGGCTCGAGACGAATAAATTGGTGGATGTCACAGGACACCTCAAGTGCCTCTTAGTTTCGCCTGTTCTCCTAGAAGCTACCAGGATTCTTCTGGCAACCATCGCCCTTTGTTTGTGACTCTCGCAATAGTTAAGTCAAGCTACAACTCAGTAATGTCCAGTGACGATTCGTCTACCGCCCCCATGGCAAATGGTTAATCAGCGCAAGATCGATGGCAAGCTAGATGGTCCAGATAGCATCAAGACATGATCTCTCCTCATGTTCTCTGGTTATCTTCTTAAACTGAACACGATGCCGCACTGTTGGTTCACTTGATTGAAAGAACCAAGTAGGAGTCGCAATCTTCAATCTTCATCCAACTCTTAGATACTGACAAGGGCATACTTTGGAATCTTCAATAATCCAGTAGATCATCACCGTCCCCCGATATGCTCCAAGAAGAGATAGAGCTTGACTGAAATTTGTAAATTCACCTCCCTCAACGGAGTTTGTGGTTGCGGCTCCAATGCGCACGAACGGGGCATCATTTTCGTGGAGCATCAGTCCAGCACGTCCGCCGAGCATCAATTTCGTGGGTTTTTTTGGAGCATTGCAGCCCAGCACGTCCGCCGAGCCCGCCCGAAAAGACCTCTGAATGCCACGAAGAATAGACACATTATCTCCATCAAGATGACATTCGCCCACCTTTATAGCCTCCCGTCACCTGTTCTGTGCTTGAGCTCAAAATCGTATGGAAAATGTGACCGAGCAAAAGTCACGAGTCTTTCAAAGTGGTTGTAATTAGGTGTGGAACGTGGCTATGTATAATGAAGTGGGGATAGCCTGTTGTAGAATTTAAATAAGGAGCGCAGCGAGATATAAGTACAAATTGCTGTGTCGTACAACGAAATTGGTGTCAGAATCCCTGCGTATATGATACGTATCTGTTACGTATTAGCATGATGGTACAAGGGTCCCCGCATGCAAAACGCACGAAACGCTCTTGTAACTGTTACGCCCTGTTATTTATGGCAGTGAGCATTGCTATACGAATTGAACGCCAAATGCTGTTTCTGAGCTGTTACATTAATGCGCTTCTATAGCTATTAGTATGAGCAAATGCTCCTCTTGATAGGAGTAACTCAATCAAGTGAATTGGCACCTCCGTACGCTGTTTGCTACTACTTCTAACAATTGGCTGTTAGATTGCAGTAGAAATTGACCAACCAAAAGCAGTCAAAACGCAGGGGTTACACGTAGAATTCACGTTTGACATTAGGCACAAAGTCGATTTCGAGCATCAGCCCCGAGACCTTAAGATACCCCGATTCAACTGCACCGAACATGTTAAAACCTGATGGTGTAGCAGCCGTTTCGAGGAATCCGATGCTCGTTGGCTTTGGAGAGCGAAAACGAGCCATGAGTAGTATTCCACCACCGTGAGAAGCCTAGGACCATGATGGCGCTGTGTAGCTAAATGGAAGGCCCCTAGCCCTAAGCTGCGGAACCAGGCTCCACAAGAGAGACAGGGCAAGTTCTTCGTGCCAGAATCCAGTCAGAATACTTGTGACCTGTTCACCTGGCATTGTGGGAAGCCAGTCCAGAAAGAGCTGGCAACTTATCCGAAGCATATGTCAACTGCTGCCGTGAGTATTGCTCTGCTATGCTTTTCCATCTCATTTCAAGCGTCTTCCCCAATAGGAGCAAGCAGACATAGAGCAGATGTATCATTAGTGGTCTTCCAGTGGACAATAAAGGCAAACCTAGTTCGTTCTCCTCGGCAGCAAAGATTGCCCAGCATTCAAAATAGGTCTTATTTTGACAGAAATATAAGAGTCTTCTCGACAGTACAGCCTTTTGCAAGCACCAAATCCTGCTGTTCCAAGCCAATTCAATGATATCACCCGTCAAGACTCCCCTGTCTTCTATCTGTAGGCTAGGGCTAAAATATACATGGACGGAAATCTGTAATGGACCCGTGGTTGGAATAGAGATCTTTGCTACAGGGACTGAAGCCACCGAACGATCAAGAAAGCTCTGGTCGCTTGCGGTATCTGATTCGCTCACAGAGCAGCCCAGATATCCCGTGTACAGCTATGCAACCAATTCGCTACGAGCTCCAGGTTTGTGTGGACAAAGTTTCCGTACTCGGCAACAAAAGGGCACCTACCAGAGATCCTATCTCAACCGGTCTGATCAAACAAGTTAGTCGATCCGTTGCGTTCCCACAAACTTGGTGGAACAAGTTGACCAACAGGCTGGCTTGAACACTATACCTTTATCATGAACATGAATTGCACCGAAATCTAGTCAAGAGTGTCAGATGGGTCATCATGTTCGATCACTCTAACTTCTTTGATCTTGCGATATGCAGAAGGCCCAATGCTCATAGTTAGAAATCCTACCTGCTGAGTAACCGCCGAGCTAGTCAGTCGGGAAAAAATGGCAATGCTGATCTGACCGTCCCATTCAGCGGCGAGAAAGTTGGTGTAAACTGGCATGCTATCAACTATGTCTCTGACTCTATGCCCTGTAAATGGTCTGTGGCTCCAATTCTTCCTGTTAGTGTAGCGAAGAAGCGCGCAACAAGCACAACCACGCTCAGCGGATGTCTTTGAGGTTGGGAAAACCAGGATAATAGTCGAACCGTACACACTCGACTTGCTTCATGCGTTCACCCTCTTTCAGGTGCTCGGAAATTTCGCAAAAGCTAGGAGCAATGTTTTCACAATAATTGCACAATGTGTTGCTGTTGTGTTGGTCTGACAATACCGGTGGAGGTGAAGTGGATCTAATTGGCTTCAAGAGAGATGCGTGGGTGAGCCACGTACCCGAGCACCGGTCAGCCACTACAACTTCCCGTCTCAACCACACTGGTCGCGGATATGACATATGATGCTGACGACCAGCCTTCTCGCGGCAACACCATGGATTGGCGTTACAAACCCAAACGCAACGAGTATGACTGTGGAAGAAAGGAATCTGAAAGGCCGGATGCAGTGTATCCATCAAATCAAATAAACTAAATCATGACCCTATTTGATATTGTTGATTCGATCCTAAAGGTCAATTTGATTTGATTTGATTTGACTCATTTGTCAAATGGAGTCAAATGTTAGCAAGCAATTTTTTGGTAGGAGGACATCAAGGATTTCGTTTCACAAAAAGAGTCTGCCAAGACTTTTATCTTTTCATCAAAAATGACCCTGAATATCTCAAAATAAGAGAACTTTCTGTCAGCAGCGCCAGAGATTGGGGAAGAAATTGACATTTTCTTGGCGGACCCCGTGTTGTACATCCTGCGCAAGTCATGGAAGAACTTCGAGACAAGAATAGCCTCTCATCCGCCGTCAAGAGCGGCCACGGGAACGAAAGTGAGCACCCTCCTTCCCCACTGGTAACAATACGAATTTGCGGGCGAGTACTACTAGTACTAGTAGTTACATGCACGGTCTCATGGACGGCGAGGCATTGCACTTGATCTCGGATGACAACAGGAGAAATACAGCAATCACATTGACATGAAGCCTCTTCCTGTACCCTTTATCAACCCACTGAGCTCAATCAACCTACCCATCCCATTTCTGATGTTCTACATTGTCATTGAAGCATCTCTCTGCTCCGCTACGATGGGTCTGCTGCTCAATCACAGCTTTTACCTCGACCTAACGGCCATAATGTGATGCAATATTTGCACAGGGTAGTAACACAAACGCTATCGAAAGAAGGATGTTACCAGGTGGATGAACCCCGAGACGATAGTAGAGAAAGGATGGTGGATCGTGAAATGACATCTTCCTTAGCAATAGCAAAAGCTAGCAAGCACTCTATCAGTTTGAGGTCGCATCTCAGCTCTCAAATGTAGGACTACTAGTACCGAACTGAACAGGTTAAGCAGCTTGCCGACAGAGGCAGGCAATCCATTTTATGTGTGGAAAAAGAAAAATGTTCTCAAAGATTTTCGCAACAGTCTATACATGCTTACTTCACGCTCTTCGACTGACTCAGAGATTTGTTCGCCGCACATCGTTCTGTCCGTGTCCCATCTCCTTCACTCGCTTACAAACCTGACACGCCTCCTTCAGATCCTTCCCACTCGTCTCCTCAATCAAACACACGACATTACCCAACTCATTCGTCATACCCCACAGCACCAACCCCTTCGCCCCCCTCAACCCGCGATCCAAATAATACAGCCCATACCCAGCCTGCTTCGAAGCCCTGACACGCTGCTGTATTAGATCGCCTATATTCCTTGGCATGTTTAATCCCCCTCGTCCCAAAAATGGGCTCACAATCGCCTAGTCATTGTACTTTGCGGCAATGTGGCACAGGGGTGTCAGATCCTCGAGGGTGGTTTTATTGACCGGAAGGGCCTCGCGCATTGATATCACGGGGTCGACGTAGTCATCTAGGAAGACTATCAGGGGTGCGGGGAATGCCGGAGGGATCGGGCTAGAGCCGCAACGGAGGAGGTAACTTAGCTCTCGAGCCAGCAGGCGGAGACGAGACAATTCGATGCACCTGTTTTGCGCCAACCAACATGCATGAGCATGAGGCCTATGAGGTATAATATGAACATGGGAAACGGGAGAGTAAGGTGACAAGTAGTATGGAGAAAAACCATGCAAGCTCACATTCGCACGAGTGGTGTGGGAGCCTAGCTTCTTAAAAGGACAAGCTCGTCCATTACAGGTATCTAGGATATGTGCACAAATCGCCTACAGCATTGCTAGCAAAGCTTATGCTTGCCATCTTTATTTTTCCACCGTCAAGGGCCGCCGACTTACACCATGAAACTCCATGCTGGAAAATGGCGCTGGCCTTGACGTAGTCGCCAACATTCGCCCCTAGAGCGCCGTTCCATATGCCCTCGGACCACGTCGCTATTTACGAATCACTTGCCTGGAGAAGGGCTTTGAAAATAACGCTGTATTGGTCCTCAACAAATTACCAGATCGTTGGTCGTTCAAGGATCGTCCAATGACCATCGGATGACCATGGTTTGACCGTCATATGGCAATTACTACTAACCCTAAGAAAAAGACGTCTGAAATCACAAAATTCAATCAGAGTTAAAATGTCCTAGTCGCATATTTCTACACAAGCTACATCATAGCACGGTTAGGCTTGAACTAAGCACACATTGATGGTAATTTAGGCATGATTTTCAGAGGGCCTTCTTCTGCTTTCTGCCAAGCATGTCCGTAAGTGGGCTTTGTCGTTCCGACGTGGAGACTAAGTACTAATAGTATCTTGTTTCCATGTAAATGGAAGAATGTATGTGCCTTTGATGGGTTGTGCCAAGAGGGAGATGCTGAAAGAGGTTCGCATCGAAAAATATGTATGGCTTCAATCCTATGCTCTATGGTTACATGAAGGCCTGCCATTCCATCATGGCATCGACAGTTTCATGTAATGATCATATTGAGCATTTCGACGTCCTACCCAGACATTCTGGCATATCTGCCATGGATGTATGGGTAGCAAGTTCTAGTCCTGTCTGCGCGGTATTTCTGTCGGGCAATGGAGAGAGAAGGGATCACGGAATCAGCGTAGACGAGGACATCCTATTTGGTGCTACCATCCATCATGCCAGTACATTGAAATGGTGTTTCCACCATGCTGTGACTGTACACAATCGAGACCACAAAGGGCCGCATGCAACAATTGGCTTTTGGGTGATGATGGTGAGGCAAAGGTAGAGCAGGCTTGCCAAGCATAAAACCCCTTGACTTCAGCTCTGCTCCGCTCCGCCGTCCTCATTCAAAGAGGGAGCTGCTAAATACTGCATCGGCGTAGTAAACTCTTCTTCCAAACCTCAGTAGTCGAAATCGTCATCCACCCCACCCTTCGAATCTTTCGTAACGCTCTCCTGCTTCCGATACATCTCTGCCACCGCCTTTGTAGTCGTGGCCTCATCCGGTTTCTTGTCGTCCCTCTGCTTGATGAACCGAGGAAAGCGGAGGGAGATACCCTTATTGACACCCATATCATCAATGGCGGCCCTATACCGCGGGCTCAGTGTGAGATCCGCTGTCTTGACCTCCCACACGACTCGTGCATCGAACCAAACATCGGGTTGGTCATTCTTCACGGTCGAGTGGCGGTAAAATGGTTTTGGCTTGTCAATCACGTGCTCTGAAAGTTGGGAATGTAACTCTTCGAGGATCGCTTCACTGAACCCAGTTCCGATATTGCACACTGTTTCGTAAACTTGGTCGTTGGCATTGTAAGCTGCGAGTAGGAAGGCGCCATATACTGATGTCCGCTTGCCTTTCCCAAAGTAGGCCCCAAGAACGACCAAGTCGAGAGAATCACCGATGCCGCTCAGATAATCCTTTTTGACCTTCAACCAATTCCGGGATCGCTTGGATGGCTCATAGCCTGATTCCTCGGTATCAAGCATCTTGACCATCAAACCTTCACAGGACGCCTTGACAGACTCATCGAGTAATGTCTGAATCTCCTCGATCTCTTTCGTGTCACCAAATTGAGCGAAAGCGAATTCGCCTTCGACTGGTTCAAAGGCTTCATGAAGCAGCTCACGCCGTTCTCTTAACGACTTCTTCACCGTAGCCTCTCCATTCAGAAACAAGATGTCGAACGCAAATACGCAGACCTTGACTTTTACGTCTTCTGCCTTCACATCTTTGCGTTTCCGAGTCATCAATTGCTGAAACGGCAAGACTTTCTTCGTTTCCATATCCCATGCCACCGTCTCACAGTCAAGGACAAAGCTTTTAGTTTCAGGTTTGATCCAGGTGTTGAGTTTCGCAAGAATATCCGGATACTTCTTTGACAGGTCCTCTGAATTCCGAGAGAATATGGAAGACAGTCCTTTCACTCCAGCGTCTTTCTGTAGTGTGGTCTTTGCAGCAGGGAATTGTTGTACAGTATCGGGGGCAACATAGTGAATCTGTGCTCTCTCACCGTCGTATTTGTATTCACAGGTAAAGTCTTTGCCTTCGAATCGGTCCAGTACTTCTGTGATGGACTTCGTCGGTTTTGCCAGCATGGGCTTGAGAGGCACGCCAGGTTGCAATTTGCAATTGTCACGCAGATTGAATATTCCGTGCGCCAGCATTTGAGGTATGATCACCTCATATGATGGAAGTTCACTAATCCTCTGTTAGATATGAAGCCGGCGTCGGAATAGTTATCTTACCTGTACACTGCCTTCAGAACGGCTTCACCTTTCGCCATCTGCTCAGTACTTAGGAGCTTGTTCCCTTTCTGTGCAGCTTCATGTTTGACCATAGCTTGTGCCAGGGCTACAATGACGGTCTTCTCTGCCAGTCCCAGTCGTAGCTTTCCTTCTAGAAATCGGATCAAGTATTTTGACTCGCTTGCACCACCTTTGTCCTTCGTAATGTCGATACCTTTCTGGCTCTTTGCCGCGGCAGCAGCATCGGCGGAGGAGAGTAGTTTCTTGATGCTGTTCACTTTCCTTTCTTGTGCGCCATGGCCTTGGACACTTGCGATTGCTAGTAAGCCCTCATGCACTCCCTTCACAGTCAATGGTTTGGGCTTGAACATCGTTCTCTGGTTGGATCGACTTTTAGCAGCAACCAATCCAAGATCGCCAATTTTGTGGTGGTCAGCCTTTGTTTCTGCGAGAGTCCGTCCCGTCGTTTCGCTGATAGCCTTGATGATCAAAGATTCTCCAATTCCAAGCTCTATGCCTGCATAATCTGCCGCGACCTTGTTTATCATCAACTGCACAGTTGAGAGGAGGTCTCCAGGGGTAAGGCGTAACACTTGCTGTAGGAACAAAGAGCAGTGGGCCGATATTTCCAGCCGCTTTGTAGTCATCTCGATCAAGGAGAATGTTGTGCAAAGCGCAGCATAAGGTACGGGATCGCCAGCCTTCCAATCAGGATATGGGTCTTTACCTGATACTTTAAGAGCGGCCTGTATCTTTTCATGCTTCTTGGTTGTTGGTGTAGACTTTTCGTCCACTTCATCGCCTGATCGCTCCTCTTCTCCAGAGACAGGTTCATCAGCCCCTAACGTGGCATTTTCCAAGGGATCTTCCGATGTCGCAGGCATTGTAATTGCGGCCGGTGCTTTCTTAGCCTCCTTTCCATTGAGTCTTGCCTCGCCTGATCGTTTTGACACTGGACCATCGGAGCTCTTTTTCCTCCGCTTGACGACCGGCTGATCGTCCGAGTCGTCCTCCTCCTCCTCCGCCTCTTGGTCAGTCTTCTCCCGCTTCAGAGACGTCGACCTTGGGCTTTCGCTCATATTTTGGTCTGAGGAAGGATTTTCTGCATCGCCATTCGATGTAGGCTTCTCCATTGGGCCATCCTCAATATCATCTTCTTTATCATCCGAAGCTTTCTTCTTCAGTGCTGGCTTCTGACCGAAGGCTAATGTAGACTGCTTTGATTTGGCATGAACACCGCTCTGCTTTCCGTCTACAGAATTACTGTAGCAGGTTGGTCAGATATTGGGACTGGGCCTCAAAGAGTACATGCACGAACCCCAAGGTTGCCTTCTTTCGCATAGGCATGGTATAGAGAGGTCCTGAAGTCGTGAATTGCGCTATACGCAAGAATGCACGGCAGATCGATGGGCTAGCGCAAGGCCAGCGAGTGGAAGCAGGCAATCTGAGGAACAAGGTCGGCTTATTGAGAATGGTGTATCTCGGACTGCGAACAGGAGAACTCTTCAGGCCTGAGGAAATTGGTTGACACTCGGTGCATTTAAGAAGGACCTGTAGCCAGGGTGGTTTCATCTGGCAATATATTGAAATGCGCAGAGCATAATGTTCTTGCCATATCGAGTCACGTTGACGCGCACCAATTAATCGCGTCATTACCTAATCTAGACTAGGCTGACGTCAGATATCAGTTTCCACCTCATTGACTGACGAGCTACTAGTATGCTGGAAGGGTTGGACTAGGCATGATGAGGAGGGAATAATGGACAAGACACTGAGTCTACAGGAACCTCAGCCGACTCGGAGACACTTATTTGTCCTGTTGGTGTTAGGCAGAAGGGCTCATGTGATATTGACCCTTCCAGCAGCTTGTGACTGAATATCAAAATCTTTACCTTCATTGCTCTACGAATGTAGTTACCTTCAACCTTCTCATGTTGCGAGTCGCTTTGCGGGGCAGACAACGTTCTCTATAACCAGACATTCCCCTATACTCGTTCAAGCCTATCAGACTTTTCTCCTTCACAGCATCCTTTTGAACATGCGCTCTAAATCCGTCTTCCCCGTGTTCGTACAATCGAGGTTGGTTCTATCAGACTAGCACCGCTATCAAGTGCCTATCTCTCTGCAGCCCAGCTTTGGTCCAGTATAAAAATAACAGTTAATTTGAACTCACATCGATGTAGAAGCGGACGTTGACTGTCTTGGATTCGCAGCATTTGGTGGACCAGCCAAGGATATTCATGTTTCGAGCAAAAGTGCAGATCCTGGTCTGATTCTGACAGTGTGTCCAATCAAATCAAATCGGCCTCCGTGGATTTGACAAATTAGTAAGTCTTGACAGAAAAGTTACTTATTTTGAAATATTCAAGGATAGTAATAATAGTCTTGGCGGACGCTCGAATAGGACCTTATTAACATTGGTTATTGAGATTTGACTCGATTTGACAAATCGGTCAAACAAAGCAAATTACGATTTTTTGATTGAATGATCAAAGCAAATCAGGGTCTCCATTTGCTTTGTTTGATTTGATGGATACCCTGTCTAAGATCCACATTCCCTCAAACCTGTATCATCTCAATCTTGGCTGCTCCTGAGCACCAATCATCTTTTCCATCCATGCTTTCTTGCTTGATCAAGCTAAGCTCATCCATGAATGCTGAAACGAATGTACCTGGCCCCCTAACAGTTTTCTGGGCACTCGCCCGTTCCGCAGCAATTTCATAGTGTAGTATAGCTGCCAGTGCTGCTAGAAACTTGTCTTCACGATGTATAGCAACGTAGGATGCAACAACAGACCCAAGAGCACACCCACTTCCAGTAATCTGACCTAGCAGAGGAGTTCCATTGGAAATAGTAATGGTACGATCACCGTCAGACAAGAAGTCTATAGATCCGGTCATTAGGACGATGTTCCTCTCTCTGCGTGCTAGGTCTGTGACCAACTTTGCCTTTTCCTGTGCTGTCGACGTGCTTGGTCCGCTGTCGACACCCCTTTGCTTAGCGTCAGGGCCACCGAAGACTGTTTTGATTTCACCCTCATTGCCCTTGATGACATCAAAGAAGCCACCCGCCATGAGATTCTTGACGGCGTCTTTTCTGATAGTTGTGGCACCACCACCAACAGGGTCGAAAAGAACTGGGTTCAGTGCAGCGTTGTAGGCTTTCATGGCTATTAGATAGTTCGAAAGGCTGTCAGATGTCACGGTCCCCATATTTATTACCAGAGCACCATGGAATTTTGCCAACTCAGGTGCCTCGTTGCCGTTGTTACTCATAATGGGTGACGACCCAGTAGCCAGACACACATTTGCAGCAAAGTTTTGCACTACTAGATTGGTCATGTTGTGGCATAGTGGATTTGTCTCACCATGCTTCTTCACGATATTGGGAACACGCTGGATTAAAGCAGCTGTATCTTTGACAGCCACGGCAGTGGGAGGTATAGCAGGATAGATCCTGGTTGCTGCATTCTGAACGAGATTTTTCAACTCACTGGCAGCTTTCCGAGGATCCTTGGCTGCCATAATGGCGCTGACCACCGCTACACCGTCTAACGAGTGTCTTGCGTGGATACTTGTCTGGTGCAGTACACGTTGAACGTTCGAGGCATTAATACCACCAATAGCGACTGATGGTAGTTTGAAATCTTCTATTGCTTGAAGAATTGCAGCTGTGCCCGCAGTACCGATGATTGACTTTGTATCCTCTTTTGTAGGGGTAGCAAAAACTGCACCGATACCAAGATAATCTGCACCCCCTTTGTGCGCTGCTTGGGCTTCCTCGATCGAGGTGGCAGTAATACCAATGATAGCATCTTTACCCAGTATTTTCCGAGCAGTGGCGATAGGCATATCATCTTGGCCAAGATGTACCCCTTCGGCACCAACAGCTAGCGCTACGTCGACTCGGTCATTGATCAGAAGCGGCACTGCCATTCTTTTCGTGACTTGATGCAGTTTCGTGGCCATGCTAATAAGCTCTCCAGTCTCAGCATGTTTGTCGCGGTACTGAACTACTGAGACGCCGCCATTCACAGCTTCTTCGACAATGTGAAGCAAGTCACCATCTCCAAGTACATTAGGGGTTGAGTCAGTAACAAGGTAGAGAGTGAGGTCAAGAGGCATATCGAATTTGGCTGATAAACATCTAAGTGAATAATTTAATGGAACAACAAGAAAGACATGTGAAATAATGGCCCTTTGACAACAATGGCATATACAAGATCCAGGAAACTATGAGAACATTCATGCATAAGCAGTACAGGATTTGCACGGTTTAGGGCCAGGATGACGAGGATGACAATAATGTTCATACGCTGACTAACCTAACTTAGTGAGCCAAACCACTGGTAGCCTTGTTGGTCTTACTACGTAATTACTGGCTGGTCTTCATAGTAAAAGCAAGATTCACGCTACACTTGAGGACAATGCTTCGCTTCACGGGTTCTCATGGTTGGCCTGTCACGATCCCTAATCCATAAACGTGCCTAGAAGTCCGTAGTGAAATGAGGTATCGCTGATGTGGCTTGAAATAATGCAGATGCGGTTCAGGTTTGTGGGGACTGTTTCGGCATGGCTAGCGGCAGCCTAGTCACTGCATCAAACTAAAGTTAGTCAAAGTCCTCCGGTTGCCGGACCTAGAGACGCCCCTAAGAGTCCAAGGCAAAAAGACTCTTCACTTCTTCTTCATCATCGCTTGTCCATCCTCAGCAATCACCGCTGTCATCACTTTGCCTCATCAGCAAAACAGCATCGGAACCAGCTTTAACACTCTGTTTCATCTCTTTCCATACCTATCACCCCCATCCCAGAGATTCAAAGCAATCGACTTCGATTGTCTATGTATTCGCGCCACGCAAACGCTTTCGACATCCTGCTGCCGCTCAAGCTGCAAATATTTCGCACCTTGCGAAAACCTTGTAGTAATCATATGAGATCCTACGGCTGAATCTCAGCGACCGATCAATACCGATTTCATGCTTTAGACGGCATACAAAGTGGACGTTCCACGCATGTCTAGTTCTTCTTACACAGCACCTTCGTCGGTTCTCTTTGTCTATCGTTCTCTCGCGGAAACAAAACTCCTGTCGACTTTGTAGATCAAAAGTACAATTACCGCTATTATGGCTACCGTCAATATTCGTCGGGTTAGTTCGATACTGATTTCACCATCGATCTTAATCCTGACCTGCTGACCATTCTTAAGGATGTTTCCGATCCCTTCTACCGCTACAAAATGGAGCGTCTGCAGTCCAAGATTGAAGGCAAAGGCAACGGCATCAAAACTGTGGTTGCCAACCTCAGCAGCGTTGCCCATTCCCTCAGTCGTCCTCCCTCCTACGTGATCAAGTATTTCGGCTTCGAACTTGGGGCTCAAACCAACATCAACCCTTCTGATGATCGTTGGATCATTAATGGTGCTCATGAGGCCTCCAAGCTGCAAGACCATCTGGACGGGTTTATCTCCCGATTCGTTCTCTGCAAGAACTGCAAGAACCCTGAGACCGATGTCGTCATCAAGGATGGAAATATCTTACTGGACTGCAAAGCATGTGGTCAACGCTCAAATGTTGATCTCCGCCTGAAACTCAGCGGCTTCATCTTGAAGAATCAGACAAAGAAGGGCAAGAAGGACAAGGCTACCAAAAAAGCTCGCCGGGCAGCGGCCAAGGAGAATGGTACTAAGGACGAAAATGCGTCACTCAATGGAGGCAGTCCTGGTGATAGTCAATCTGACAATGCGGATGAAAATGGCGAGGTCGAGCAGGAAGCCAACAGTGACGATGAGCTCACCCGTCGTATCAACGCCGAAGCCAAGGGCATTGATCTTGCAGATGGCGACGCCAACGACGACGACTGGAACGTAGACATGTCCGCCGAAGCCATCGCAGCTCGTCAAAAGGGTCTGCCTGAGGACTTCAAACGCGCACTGGTCCTTGACGATGCCGATGAAGATGAAGAAGGAGGTGCCAACAATGCCTATGATCAGCTTGGGACCTGGATCATCGAAGAAGCCAAGACTAAGGGAGACGTTGCCAAAGTGGATGACGTTGAGATCTACAAAAAGGCCAAAGATCTCGGCATTGAGACCAAGCACAAGACTTTAATCGTGTTGGCACAATCCATGTTCAGTGAAGACATCGTCAAGCAGATACCCCAACGGGCCGGCATGCTCAAGAAAATGATCACCTCTGAACGACACCAGAAGGCCTTCTTGGGCGGAACCGAGCGTTTCGTTGGTGTCGAGTATCCAGACAAACTCATTGCTCAAGTCCCTGCGATCTTAATGGGCTTCTACCAGGAAGATCTCATCACCGAAGAGGTGCTCACTGCCTGGTGCGGCAAGGCTGGCAAGAAATATGTCGACATCGGCACGAGTCGGAAAGTGCGCCAGGCGGCTAAGCCGTTCCTCGAGTGGCTCCAAAACGCCGAGAGTGACGAAGAGAGCGATGAGGAATAAGCTTCTTCATCTCATGCTGTCGGCACTTGACAACTCACGGCTACTTGCTCTCTGTCCTTTGGTTCAACTACTCCACTCTCGGTATTGTCGATCACTTCTCAATCGTGCTTATTGTCAGCCTCCAGGTCCGTTTTCCTTGATCATTCCTAGTCCTCCGAGCGACGCAGGGAGAAATCGTGGTGTCTCCATTCTACACTGTCTCTACTCCATCAGTCGCTTTAGTCTCGAACGAGGTTCTCTGTATCTTTAAAAGCTTCTTCTCCCAGCATTAATACTGCTCGATAGATCAATTTGGTATCCTACTCGCTCCTTCCAATGCTTTCTTTCAATATTCCCACAAATGACGTAGACGTGCACTACATCTTCCCAGCAACCAGCAAAGCCAATTTGAACCCTCTCAACCATGATGCCCAGCGCTGATATCGTTGACTAACATCGCATTCCACGGCCAGAAAGTTTACCGTAGTAATCCTCGTATCACCACTTCCAGCTTTCCAATGAAGTAATTCAATCTCAAGACACCACATCTTCTAATCCGCACCGATTCCCGTCTTCACAACCACTTTCCTCCTCTCCTTGGCCCCTCCCCCCCTGACCTCTTAATGTCCAGTCCCCAACCGTCCTCCTACCCTCCCTCATCTCCCTCTCCATCGCCCCTATTTCTCTAACAACCCACACCGCATCCGCGTTCCAAACTTCCAGCGCCTCGCGCACGTGTTCCCGACCAGGTTCATCCATGATAGGGCTGAGGAGCGCAAGGATCGCATCGCCGATCTCCGAGGTTGCGGGGATGGACGTGTGGAGGAGGATGGTGGTCAGGAGGTTGAGAAGGGAGGTGTGGATTTTCGAGGTTTGAGTCTGTGTCGTTGAGGTTTGGATGTGGAGTTGGTGGGTGGTTGAGGTGTTGCTGCTGTTGCTGCCGATGGGGGGGTTCGTGCGGCTGGGAATAGGAGGCGATTCGACGATCCGAAGGTCTACAGTGCCTTTCAGATTCGCGCCCGGTGACGATACCGATGCTGCGTCGTTTTCGCTGGACAGGGCTAATCTCCTTGTGGGACCACGGTGCTGCGCCATCCTCAGTCGGTCCTGCTTGACTTCGCTCCAGATTCTGCGGTACAGTTTCTCCAGGCTCGGGAAGATACTCTCAATTCGCCCACTCATGAAACCGCCTGCACTGACGCAGATGGCTGCCATGGTGTCCGCTGCTGCGATGGTGACGTAAGCTGGATCCTGCTCTGGCTCTTCTTGTTCACTACTACTAGTGGCTGTGCTTTTGCTTTCTGACGGAAATAGCCGCGGTAGGATGGCTGGCCAGACGTCGTTCACGAGCGGGAGGAACGAGTTTTCGTGCCGGGATAATAATGGGGTAATGCGGGTCAAGAGTTGTAGAAGGATGAGGCGGACGCGAGGCGATGGGGAGGAGAGATGCGGTATTGTTGAGCGGGCAATGGATAGGAGAAGGGTGTGTGGTTTGGAGAGTGGGGACTCTTTTGCTTCTTCTGCGGCCTGGCTGGAGGGTTGTTCTTCGTTGTCATCAAATTCTGTTTCTTGTGTCTCTTGATCTTTCTTTGAGGTCTTAGGACCGTCCAAATTCGAGGTCCATGGTCGATGAGGTGCTGATTGTGATGCATTGTCATCTCCCGGCCGCACTAGATCTTCCGCATCGCGTCTCTCCTTCCGTTCTTTATGTGCTCGAATGTCTTGCAAGATATCTTCTATCGTAGAAGGCTGATATGCAGTCTTTCTATGCTTAGGCTCCTCCATGCCGTTCGTGATAGTCAGAGCAGGGTTCTTGGCCGCCTCATCAACAGCCACACCGAGCACATCGAAGAGCAACTCCACGAGCCGGGGATAGCCATGAAAATTATCCAGTGCTGCGAAAATGCTACCAATCAAGTCGTCCAGATATGGAATGAGTCTCGCACCACACAGGCGTAATAACATGAGCAGAACCTGTGGTCCTTGTGGGGAAATGTCAAACGTATTGAGCTTGAGAGCGATCGAATTGATCAGGTAGTCAACATTCTCTACCAGCATTGTGGATGTATTGGCATATTCGCAGGCCATTGCAAGAAGATTGAGCGCTGTCATAGCATGAGACTGCAAACGTGGTTCTGGGGATCCGAGAAGGGATAGTATCGGGTACAGAGTGTCAATCAATTCCGGTCGATAAGACCTTCCTAGCTGTTTTGCCTGAAGGATTGTGGATTCGAGTGCGAGTGCAGGGATTCGCCAGTCGTAGATGGAGAAGGTCGTTGTGCTGGCCAAGAGCAACGGTAGAGTGACAGAATACAGGTCTGAAATGAGGTATGGAGTGGCATCATATGATTCGCTAGGAATATCGAGGAAATCGGAAATAGAGAACGATGGATTGTCCCTACTAAGAAACATGAGGCACAACCAAAGTGATGATAACTGTTGGGTACCCGAAGACTGCCCGATTCTTACCATCATTGATCTTGTTAACGACTCGCTTGCCGAAGAGTTCCTCATTTGACTTATCAAGGCATGTAATTCCACTAACGGATTCAAGCTACCCTTTCCATCCAGGATGACCGGCTCGAAACTTCTGGTATGGTACTGTTCCTGGAACTGTACCATTTGCGCAGGCGAAGGAGCTTCGGAAACTCTGAGCAAAGAAACCGCCTGAGATCCCTCCACTGCCATCGAAACGCTTTGTACCAAGCTGCTTGCAAGATAATCATTCAATAAGTCGGAAGCGTCTCCAGATTCAAGAACAATCTGAAAGGCGATAGAGATCTGTTGCAGGACTTGCCGCTTCGCCCTGTCATCATTCCCTTGTATCACACGTGGAAGTGCGATTATCCATGTGTCCAAGCTACTTCTAAGCAAATCCATCAATGCAGAGTTCGACAGTATAAGATGCTTCAGTAGCTGCTTTTCTTGTGCCAGAGAATCAATTCCATCACGACCTGCAAGCATAACCATAGTCTCGATGTTGAGCTGCAGTGAGTCGGACAGTGTCTTCAAGCATTTCTCACACATCGCTAGGCATAGCTTGAAGAGTGCATGTCGCACCTCTTGCCTGTCATGGTTGCGTAACTTGACTACATTGGCCAGCGCGAGCTTGACTTGGGAGGCAGTAGCTTTCAGCCACTTGTCATCCAGGATCAGAGAGCCTTCCGTGATCTCTGGCCTTTGCATTGCGACTTCGTTCCCACTACCTGATGACTCTGTTTCATTGAATGCAATCTCATCAGCTAAGACATCTGTCAAAATATGGCTTAGCAGTTCAAGTAGGCAAACAAGGACTTTGTGAGTCCTTCGGATCTGAGTGCTCCGAGTCAAAGCTTTGGTAAGAGCAGAGACTACTCGAGGTAGTAGACTGGCTAAGAGAATCCGGTTACTTATCTTGGAGAGTAAGCTCTGCAAAGCATTTGCAGCTGAAAGCTGGACACTCTCCGAGGGACTGTCGGTAAGTGCTTCAAGCAACAAATATACACTCTGGTCAACAATGGTTTTTGCACCGATCTCGTCAAATACGTGCTGAGCAACTTGACTCAGGAAATCAAAAAGAGTGTTCATGCATTCGAAGCAAGTGGAGACAAGTTCTTCGGACGGAGCGTTGTCCCTGGATCGAGTGGGGGAGCCTCCGGCGAGCAGACTTAGGAGGATGAGCAACTGCTTGCCCATCTCTGGTTGCAACTTTCGTCGCCATCCTCGAGACACTAGAACCTGTAGACATTGTACTGCTAGCTCCAAGCAGCGGGACGAGAGCTTCTGAGACTCGTTGAACACGGTTGAGAGAGGGAAGAAAGCATATTCAGCAAGCTTCTCGTCAAGAGCGTCATGCCTGCCGAGGTCTATGATCACAGCATGAGCAGCTTCTAGTGCTAGTAGAAGGTTTTTGATGGAAGCTTGCTGGCCTCGAAATTTGAGCGCTACAGAGCTGAGGTTGACACATGGTGGTCTGAGCTGAGTCTTTGTCAGCACCTGAAGTGGAGTGGGTGCTGGCGAGGAGACAGTGATATCACACCTTCTCAAAAGCCTTCTGCTTGGAATATTCCATAAATGGCAGTTCTATTGGCAGACAATAAATATCAACATCGGTCGCGCGAAGATTGAGACCGGGATCAAAGCCGGACTGGTGGTGCAGTTACGTCAGTCAGCCACAGTGGCTGTGCATAATCCCATTGGGAAAAAGCAAGCCTACAGCCATGTTCTCTCGTTCATACGGTAGCTGTATGGAGTAACTACGTAGTATAGCGCACATTGCTCTGCTCGTTAGCGTGGCTAAACTTCCAACCTTAGGAGTACTAGTATTAAATGACTACTGTGGTGCATATGTGACTCGCTTGCAATGACATATTATGGCTAGACATGTTAAGGAGTCAGTGGCTAGGATTCGGTGCCGATGGTCCCAGCCTTCTATCCAGCCTTTTAATTTGTAGCCTGGGAGCTTGTTTCATGAAAGCTCCCAACTCAAACGTCGGGTGAGCTGTCCATGCATTCATTGTACGTAGCGTAGTAAATCTCTCGTACCAAGTTTGCCGAATGATCGGTAAGGTCTCAGACACACAGGAATGCAGGGACCCTCTGCCGTCATAGTAGCGCGTCGATATCGATGAGACCACATGCAGAAGCTGGTGATCTGGGAATCACGATTTCGCTGCTTCTCTGTTTTCCTGCCTGCCCTGGCTCCCTTGGTCGTGCAACAGATCGAGTCAGTCGCTCTGCCTTCCCTGACGCTCCGCTGCCTGGATGCGAAGGTCTTCTGAATCAATCCAAGGAACAGCTTCGCACGTTGATGAGTCGATGACTGAATTGGTCGCTACTTTTCGACCTGGGATACGGAGTAGCCTCGTCGGCATTGGCCGTTTGGTTCCTCGGGTACTCGTCTAAAAGCGTGGCGTAGGACGCGTGCATGGAGGCCCAGCGGGATGCAAAAGTTGATCAGAAACAAGCGTGTTTGCAAACTATGCAGATCGCAGTGCTTGACATACTACGTAGGCTCGGAAGCTAGACCTTCACCCGCCATCATCTCAAGAAGCGGTCTCTACAGGTCCCGTATGAGGTTTACTACGTACGTATCCTTCAAGCTGGAATTCATGCTGTATCAAACCTGGCGAACCCGGCGCGTTATCAACCAGGAAAGGTGCACTCAGCCAAGGCAGCTCACAAGCCACTTCTCTGCTCTACCATACTAGTGCGTAGTATGACCTAGCCGGGGCGCCAGGTACCTGTAAACTGGGCGGGCCAGTCGCCAATCAGCGGAGACGAAGAAGACAGCTGTGGCAATGCAGGCTCCTTTCAAGCTTCGGAGCTCTGGAGATTGGGTGTGTGTCACTTGTGTTCAATCGACCTTCTAGGCTTGCCTCAACCACTAGAAATCGTTTCCGCTTTTCAATATGGCAATTTCCTCTGACCCCTGTTGTATCACCATGGACATCGCGCGCGCACTACGCTGCAAGTTATGCATTGTACCAAGTGGGTCAGGGTCAGAAACCAATAAAGGCTGCAGCGGGTCACTACTCGAGTAGAGGGAAAAAGATTTCAATTAGTTACTGATAGGCGTGTTGCTGGTAGACGAGGTTGGCAGTGATTTCCTGTTGACGTCGAACCCGCCAAACCAGCCAAACCAAACCAGACCAAACCAAACGGTAATTACTACCCAGTAACCACCACCCTAAGCACACCGTCACTACCACACCATAAACCTGCAGCTACCCTCGCTCGCGCCTTCAGCATTATTACTACGTAAAGTAGCCGCCCCTAAATACCAGTCAACTTGCCCTGCTCACCTGTTTTGTCTTCATCACAAACACAACACCGTTAAGGTTCTCCAACCTAAGTTCACCTCTTCCGCTGTAGAATCCTTCTTCAGAGTTACTTGAGCGTATCTTGTAAACAACAACAGCAACATCATACCTCATCATCTCCCACTCTTGCTTCTCTCAACGTCGCCAACCGACAAAGCAATTCCGTCAACATGGTGACCTTCGTCGCAGCTGTTGCGCTCTTCGCCTCGGTGGTTCTTGCGCAGGATCCTGGATCTCTTCCGACATGCGGTGTAAGTAGCCAACTCCTGTTGCTTGACGCGTTTATCAACTTGGTCATACGACTGACGTCACCGTCCGATAGCAAAACTGTGTCTCGTCTATGACTGGTCAATTTGCAGCCCTTGGTTGTTCCAGTTCGTCTGATGTCAGTTGTCTTTGCGCCAACCCAAACTTCGGCTATGGTGTTCGCGACTGCTCCACAGAATCTTGCCCCCCAGGCACCGATGTCTCCATCATCACCGGATTCGCTGCCGAGTACTGCTCAGGCCCTGCTGCATGTGCGTACTCCCACGTCTGTGACATCTTCAGTAGTTTCTGACCTGCCTCCTACCAGCATCCGGCTCATTCTCTAATCCGGGCATTGCTGCCACTGCAGCGACTGCGTCTGGCACTGTTAGCAACCCTGCGGAAACTGCGACCAGCACATCAAGCTCTGGGGAAAGTGAAGAATCTACCACCGTCACCTCGACTGAAACTGTGCCAGCGGTAAGGCTATGCTCTCAACACTTTATGTAAGGACATCTCGCTAACATGCGCAGGCTGGTGCAATTACCACTTCGGAGATCGTTTCCACCATCACCACCGATGGCAGTACAATCACCACTACCATCGGAAGCACGACTATCTTCTCTAGCGGTGCCGAGGGCAATGCCACTGACGCCGCTGGTGCAGCTTCAAGCACTGCTTCTGATGCCGCTGCCTCTGCTAGCTCAGAGATTAGCTCTGCTGCTTCGTCTGCCTCTGATGCCATCTCTAGCGCCACTTCCCGCCTGTCCTCTGCCCTCCGCACCGCAACATCATCTGAAGGTGCTTCCAGTACCGAGGCTGCAGGCGCCAGCTCGGCCGCTTCTGGTGCCGCCTATCCGATGGCTACCGTTGCTGTCAACGGCATGGCTGGTATTGCCGGTCTGGCTGCTCTGCTTGCACTGTGAAGCTCCGAATTGCTCTATAGCACGACAGACGATAAAGATTTGCGGTGGATGAGAATGATTCAAGCGAGCTTTGATACCCCTGAATCCAATTGAAAGTTGGTCCAACACCGTTACTGCTGCTGTTAGGCAATCTTGTACAGAAGGTGTCTCCTTGGTCTACAAGGAAGGAGGTGGGCGTTAACACAATTCATGTCGAATGGATAGCATGGCATGCACGCACACAGATGCCCAAGTCACCTAGCTTGCGGTTTTGTTTTTCTCATAGGCTCACTTGAGCAGATAGCTAATAATTTGCATCCGAAGCAATGCTCTTGAATGGACTACCGATGGTGACATGTCTGGTTAAGGTAGTGATGCTAAAAGTCCTTGCCGAGCTTGCTGATCCTTACTACGTATGACTCATTCCGCCAGCCCCCCACCCCGCAATGGAAAATGTCTAGCGATGGTGGGCTTCTATCCAGACTTTGCACTGCATCTTCCATCTAACTAATAGGTCTGGGCAACTCTGATAGATCTATCTAGACGAAACTCATCATCAAGATTGCTACTTGTATATCCCTCAAGGTTCCCACCTTTATCATGATACCCACGCAACGGGCATGTCCTTGAAACCTTTGCCATCCCTTATGGCTCTGTGCCATAGGAATTAATTCGTGACCGCACCCATCAGGCCATCCCCGGATTTTCTTTACCTCCACATCACATACGAAAACTTCTCCGTACCATGTGCTTATCTAATTCTCCATAGAAAAGTGTCTTGATCTGAGCAATGTCCTTCCATGATCGACCCTCACCACCCACCATTGCCACTCCACCACCTACCATTCTCCATGATAACGAAAGCCCTACCACTTCAAGTTCAAATACTCCAATTATGACCTCAACAGGAAACAAGCTGAAGAAACCCCTCTATTTGATCGTCGCCACGGCTGTCGAGCCACATATGGGAATTGGCTATAAGGGGGGGTTGCCCTGGGCTCAGTTGAAGAGCGATATGGGATTTTTTAGAAGGGTGACCATACGAGGCGGCACCAATCGAACACGGCAAGAGCACCCGGACGGACAGGAGAATAAAAGCATTTGGAGAAGAAATTCAGTAATCATGGGCAGAAAGACGTGGGAGAGTATACCGAAGAAGTTCCGACCGCTGAAAGGGAGAGTGAATGTGGTTGTCACAAGAAATGCTCTGAGAATGCGCGAGGAGATCCACAGTGAGCAAAGTCAACAGGAGGAAGAGGTGATCATTGTGTCAAGTCTACAAGAAGGATTGAGCGTGCTGAGCGAGCTGCGGCAACGCGATGCTGAGCCGACTAACGGAGACGACGAGGGCAAAGATTTCGTGATCGGTGGGAGTGAGATCTATAGGGCTGCTTTGGACTTTCCTACTTCATCTTCTGGTCAAGGGGTCCAGCTTCATGATTCGACAGGAGAACGAGGCATCATATTACGCATCCTACAGACTCAAGTTCGGAAAACAGATGGAAAAGGCTTTGACTGCGATATTTTCTTCCCTGTAGATCTACAAGGGGGCAGCGGTCAACTGGCTCAAAGATGGAGAGAGGTTGATCAAGCAGAGACGGAAAGCTGGGTAGGTGAAGGCTTGCCACAGAAAGACGCGGAGTGGGTGGAGGATGGAGAGGGACAGTGTGAGATCAGAGTTGTTGGTTGGGAGAAGACAGACTGAGCAGCTTCTAAGTCATCTTCTCCAGCATCGGTATCTCGGTCAACACCCTTTTGGGACAGGTGTGTGCACAAGAGCAGCAACATGGTGGTGAAGTCATTGAGGTTGATATCTGCCAACAGAGATGCAAAAGCTATCCAACCTATACTTCAAGGCCAAGACGATGATGCAGAACAGAACAAGTCTTAATACTATATCTCTCGCCCTGTTGTGCCACTTGAGAAACCAAGTCAGCAGCTCAGCACTGTTCTCCAACCGAACCACACACGCAACTAGCATCACATTATATCAGGAGCTTCTCAACTCTTGGAACTCCAGAGCAGATTAAAGCCCCACGAATTGTCAGCAGAACTCAGGGCTTTGGGCTACTTCTACTTCTCAGCTGGGCGCATGTCAGAAGAAGAAGAGAACAAGGAGCAGGCCTCCAGGCAAGCAGAGTATCGCGAAAAAAGTATTGGGTCCAGCAGAGCCAGGGCGAAGAAAGACCGCCGAGCTCCCGGAAATAGAGATCAAAAGATAGACTCTTTCCTCACAACCAAGAAAAGGTGTTAAGGATCTGCTCGCTGAGCTTGAGCGGCTTGTTCTCCCCCAAAAAAGAGAGAGGGCGGAGTTATATATCTAGGGCGTCCAGTCCAAAGAATGAATGAAAGCGAAAATAAAACTTGCCGTAAGCGAGAGTGGTAGGAGGGAGGTGAAGCGGAATTCCACTCAAGCCATGCTTGTTAGCCCGGCATCCATGGGGAATTAAGGATTTCAACAATGGGACGAGAGATGAAATATGTAAGGATAAAGTTAGCATTACAGCTGAGCAGTGTAGTTACGAATCTATAATTACGTGGCACACATGAGTAAGCCAGATAGAATAAATTAAGGAAACAGAAACAGTTTCAGGAAAGAACAGGTTTTTGGTTCGGAAAATTCGCGACTTCTCTTTCGTATACTATATACAACTAACATATGCAGCCATGCTTCGAAGGCGCACGCAAAACAGATTTTCAGTCAGACAGACATAACGAACAGGGTTTCCAAACTCCATTGCCGCCCCTGCGGCCGTGTGGCACTCCGCTGTATCGTGTATGCGTCCAATCAGATAAACAGCCCGGCCTTCTTCAGCCGAGTTAGTACAGCAACCGATTCAAAACATTGCTTGTCAGGGAGACGGCATGTCAGTCAACCCCCCGGCGGATTGGGTATACTTTAACAGCAAAACGATATCCGAGACCAGCCTTATGCTCCATTTCGCCTTCTCGAGATCAAGATCTACCCACCTTTCCAAGCTTCCTCTCCTCTTCTTCCAGCTCTTTGATGAACTTCACAAACCCCTTCTTATGCACCATCCCGGCAAACTGACCATCCCTCAACACGCACATGTACCTCAACCCCAGCTTCACAAAACACTGATACACCAGATCCATAGGTGAGTGGATATCCAACGCAACGGGGGCCGGATCGATGAAGGGGGTGAAATCCGTTGGATCCGATGGACCCCCATCCCCATCCTCACCATCACCATCATAGTGTTGATCGTCAAAGCCATGCCATCGGCCGTCACTCGCCATGAGACAAAGGGTGTTCTCTTCGTGCTCGATTCGGTCGAGTGCAAACTCCAGATCCGGGGCTGGTATGAGGCCAACGAGGATATTGTGCCGGAGGATGGGGAGGCCGCCGTCCAGCTCACCTGCCATATGGAGTTGATGTAATTTCTGACGGAGGTCAGAGGCGCGGACGAGGGGCGCGTTGGAGATGTCGATGATTCTGTTGCGGCGGATGCGGGGGACTATGTCGCCTAATTCCGAGTCAAAGACCGGATGGACTTTGTTGTCGAGGAATGGGTAAGAGTTCATTTCCGTAAGGAGATCGTAAATACTGAGGGGTTCAATGGCGTCCGCGGTCCATTTGGCGCAGAGAACGGCGAGAGAGAAAGGGAGAACGTGGTCGAGGTCTCCGGTTAGTTCAAAGAGGATAACTGCTAGGGTGACAGAGAGACGGGTCACTCCGCACATCGTGGCACCGGCGGCTATGAGGGCGTAGACACCGGGGGTGACACATGCTTCGATTCCGCCATCTGCTGGACAAGATTGGAAGAGGACGAAGGTGGGGTGACGGAGGACGAGGTACTGTGTGATGTGGCCTACAACTCGGCCCATGAGACCACCCACAACCATAGATGGGACGTAGATCCCAGCAGGGACCTTGATACCGAAGGTGATGATGGTGAGGAACGCTTTGATGACGAATGCCACAAGCAGCATACGGATGACTTTGGGAATATCCTCTTCTTTCTGACAAAGCCCAGTATTGGCGTTAGGAGCACAAGGACTTGCCAGTTCAAAGAGCAATTCCGTCACTGGCAACTTCGTGTATCGATTCCAGAAGCTAGTAACACCAGTGATCAGGGCAACCAGCCCAACTTCAAGCATGGGCCATTTCCTGATGACTGGAATGCGTCGAAAAGTCGTGGCCCATATTCGCGATGCTTTGATGAACAAAGCTCCTGCAGCACCGCCCATGACACCTAATAGGATGAATGTGAACAGTTCGAAAAACTGCCAATCCTTGAAGTACCGGACCTCGAATATGACTATCTTTCCGGTGCCGTAAGGATTGAGGAATTTGAGCGTCAGGGTTGCCGCGATGCAACAAAAGAACGTTCGAAACAATGTTTTAGGAGGGAAGTAGTAGCTAACCTCCTCTAAGCTGAAGAGCACGCCACCAATAGGTGCTCCAAAGGCGACCCCGACTCCACTCGCTGCACTGGCACTCAAGACCTCTCGCCTTTTGCCGTCATTCAGATTGTATTTGGAAAACATCCTGCAAGCGATATTGCCGACACAGGTGGCAATGTGAACATAAGGACCTTCCTTGCCGAGACTCAGGCCAGAAGCCACAGCAAAGACCAAACCTATGGTCTTGAAGAAAAGGGTTTTGACACCAAGATATCCATGAAGAACGAATCCACTGAGGATGACCTTGACTTCGGCAACACCGCTTCCCGCAGCTGAATAGTAGGTCAGGGTAGAGGAGCCGTTTGCTTCGGGCAGGGTGGTAGGACTTTGCTGGGTGTCCTTGTCATCATCAGCGTCTTTCTTAGCCCTACGATCTGTGCCAAGATCCTCATCTAGAGGTGCCAACTGTACATTGGAAGGAACAACGGTCTTCGAGAGGAGAGTGATGTAGCAGGCCAACTGCGACAGAAGGATGCATCCGAGCACAAAGGTGATGAAATCTATCCAGACACTGTCTATACGCGAAGGCCGAATGATCTGCGACCACGTTCGCCATGCAGAGCATTCTTCTTTGCCAACACAGCATTTGTTTCTGCTCCAGTACCATCCATTGCGGCAGTATCCTTCCTTGAGATCGAAGACTGCCGATTCGGTAACATCGACAAAATAGGCGATAACAGCTGTGACGCAGCCACTGATGGCCACCAGGATCCATCCTTGAGATGAGTCGAACCATGCCCATAACCGACCTTTTATGCCTTTGCGTTTCCGTAATTCTTGTACTCGAAATCCGTCGGCGATGCTGTCGTGCACCCAGTCTGTAGAGGTGAATTGATCATACCATACTCGGTCGTCTTGAAAGACGGACCCCATAGTCATTGCCGAAAGGGGCCCTTTTCGATCCAAACCTGCCATGGAGGCTATTTTCAAACCCCATGAGTTGGCTCGGCTATGATTTCTGGACGGCAGCAAGCTACCTGCAGTACTCCCCTGCCTTGATAGTGTGTATCTTCCGGGGGTCGCAGGCACACTTGTGTAAGGCTTGTGAACTCCATCGGGGGCTGCCAATAAGCTAGTTTGCTCATTCGCCTCGTTCTCCATGACCAGTCGAGGGGGAAGATGGGTACGAAGGTTCGGGACGGATGGTCGTCGGCTGGCTCGTCGGAAGGTCAATGGTGAGGAGGGAGCAGTAGTTGGGGTTGAAATGTTGTTGCCATGATCGTCCCCACCACCTGGGCCAAAGTACGAGGAGATTGATTTCGGCATGACCGCCAGTTGGGAATAGCTAGGCTCCAAGTCGATGAGTCAGGAGATTTGGAATGAACGGCAGCCACAATACACACAAAATTCGACGAGAACCATAGGAGGGTGGCTTCTTCACGCCATCATTCGTTCATCGTCAGCCATGGAAGCCAACCGGCCTCAGTGTAGGATAAACATGCGAGCATCAGATGAAGAACAGAGTCCTTTCAATTCGAGTACGTATACAAGATCGTGAAGAATTGCGGAGCCGCTGAAGGAATCGAAGCTGAAGCTGAAACTGTGCACGCAGCAGCCCGTAAGGATTGACATCACGCGCGGCCTTTTTCGAGGGCTGTGTCTGTCTGAAGGAGCGGCGATCAGAAGTACGGATGTAGTCTCATCTGACACACGGTCAGAGCTACTCGAGTAAATCTGCGGGCGGTGTTGGGTGGCTAGTGACGCCCAGGCAGGAATGTAACACTGACCGGCCCCCGTGGTGATTAGTTATTGCGCTTGGGACGTGCCCCAGAAGTCCAGCTGCGTCAACTCGTGGCCAATCACATCAAAGGCCAACTCCCTCCCAGCATTCGATATTCACTCTCCAACACGGTGGTTATTGCATCTTTTGGTCTCCAGAGCTTGTACGTAACACATCTTCAGCTCTCAAATCGCTCTTCCATTTCGATCTGTTATCCAAAACTACTGTTGGCGGGATAAATTATCATGAGTTACTGCACCTGGCCTTGACCGATGTTGGACAACGAGCATCAAACACTTGGGAGTGTTTGAACCCTTGGGCAAACGCTGGACTCAACCTAAAATACTTTAACGTGACCGGCCCACGCGCATCATGCTGTGCAACGGATCCCCATCCGACGTCTCCGTTCCTACGAAATTTTCAAGCTACCAGTTTCAGCTTGTCGTCATCTTAGAGATATTTATCGAAACCCATATAAAGATTGGTTGAATGGCTAGCAAAGCAATGTTTGTTTATGGAGTATATAATGCCTAGTTGAACTATTTTAATTCATTCAATCTTTAAGTTATTTTATTTACTGCCAGCAATATTTAAATAATGAAATATGCTCCCACACACCCAACGCCAAGTAGCTTCTGTCGTACATGTGGGCCGGTCACGTTACTACGGTGAAGATGAGCCGCTGCATGACATGCTCTCCTGCCCATTGCCCATCTGCCCACTCCCTGGGCGCGCCTTTGTCATGCGGAAGCGCTAATCCCTCCCCATTTGCTGATCCCTTCCACCCGACTCTTCCACCCAAGACACTATCTCTCTCAAGAAGTCCATATCCTGAGCACATAAAGAAGAAAGAGACCAAAAACAGCATTTCCGGCCGAGGTGATCCTGGACCGAGTTCATGATGTCGACAGATGCTGATGCCCCAAGCAATTCATGGACGACCATGACTTATGATAAGCCATATGACCAGTTTCTACTGTTTGGCGACTCCATCACGGAGCAAGCAGAATGTCAGGACCGAGGTTTTGCAATTGCAGCAGCTCTGCAAAATGGTAAATATAATCTGTTCATTAAAAGTACCACAATCCGAAATGAGATACCGGATATTTCTCGGTCATCAAAAACCAGAGATTTTTTTACATCATTTACTACTTTAGCACCTACCTAGTAATCATTCTTCCCATACTGTGATGTTAGCGTAAAGCGTTGCGGATCGGCCCCTGGCCCACACATACTGATATTGGAGCTTTGATCAGTGTATATTCGACGGTTGGATGTGATCAATCGTGGATTCAGGTACAGTGTTCGGTACTAGTCTTCTTGATTGAGTGGCTCATCAAAAACCAGTGGTTACACAACTCGAAATGCCCTGAAGGTTCTTCCTCGGTTCATGCCAAGTCCACTCCAAGCGACTGTGCGCTTGATGGTAATGATGCTTGTGGTTCTCTGGTGCTGCTGTTCCCGGGACGCTGACGATTGACGAGATGATCTTTTTCGGGGCCAATGATGCCTGTCTGCCGGGACAATCACAGCATGTACCACTAGATGGATACTGCGAGTGCTTAAAGTCGCTGTGCCTGCATCCCTCGGTCACAACTCATAATCCATCAATCATATTGGTGACGCCAGCTCCAGTGGACGAGTATCAGATGATGGTCAGTGACGCATTAAAAGGCTATACCACTCCCCAGAGGACGGCAGCGAACACCAAGATGTATGCCGATGCATGTCGAGGCATTGGAGAGGAGCTCAACTTGCCAGTCGTTGATCTCTGGGGAGCCTTTATGCGCAAGGCCGGATGGAGAGAGGGAGAACCATTGATAGGGTCAATCGACGTGGCAAGAAACGAGGTCCTGCAGAATCTCCTTCGAGATGGTAAGTGCTTGTTCCGATCACCGTGTAACAATACTGATAATTTCGAAGGACTGCATTTTAACCCTGAAGGATACCGATTAATGTATAATGAAGTAATGAAAGTCATTCGAGAGCGAATCCCAGACCAGAGTCCAGAGAGGCTTCCATTTGTGTACCCGCCATGGGAGCGGGCCCCAGCATGAAGCAGCTTTGAAAGGCTCCAGTTTAGATTCGAATAGAATCGAGGCCAAAGAAGGCTCTCACCGGACAAGTTAGCTCCACTAAGGTAAAAGATGGGGGAGCCTGGAGGGGAACAAATTACATCCTTGACACAGGAAACCATTGCATGGGATAGTGTCTAGGATAAGATTTAGTTATGATTGGGTTTACTGTAGGATGTATAGTATTATCTTGTCCGTTGAATTTCTGCATTGGAATGGATAAAAGTGGATGAGAATTGCTAAGACTGAGCATGTCAAATTGAACTTGAAGGGGGGAGCGCCGCGTCCTGGCGGACAAAAAGTCTTGGCCCGAGGTATTTGACGCAGGACCGTCTTCAAGAATAGGAATCCTCAAAATCACAAGCTGCGTTCTCACCAGCCTCAGATTCATCAATCTCCGGACGGGCCTGTCTGGCCTCCATCTACGACCTCTCTTATATCCTTGGAAAATAACACAAGCGAAACAAGATCAGGAAGCTTGCCGGCACCACCCAGTTCCTACTCGATAACCGTCCCACCCATTCAAACCCTCGCCAGCCCAAAAGCTGAGATTGACCCAACCTGACCGCGTGCGGATGTGTATCTTGGTCAACATTACATTCTTCTAAACACTTTCAACGAAGCACTAGCTTGCCGGCTTAGACTATCCCTCCACAATTCCTCTTGCGCCCACGAGAAGATCTGCTCCTTTTCTACGTCGGATCTTACTCCGTTTCAATTACGTACTTCATTTTCATACAGTTTGAATGACAAACCTGTGAGATTCAGAACAGAATCTGGTGAGCGGCGTTTCGCCGCTGGTCGAGTCGGTGGAGGGGGGCTTGCTGGATGCATTCAAGAGTTCAAGACCGTGTATGAATATCTGTTCAGGAGCTTTTCTGGCTTCATCTTTTTGACACTTCTCTTCTTGCTCTCCGCCGCCTCGTGAGACCCTTCTAATGTACGATACACCCCTGATCCTTTCCAGTGGCAATGGAATCACAGTTCCCTGTTGCTACAAGAGAAGAACTTTGGCGGCTACAAGAGGAGATTAAAGACCTCTTTGTCACACAGGGACAGCATTCTGAACGAATAATGAGACTTGAAAAACGACGAGATGAGGACACGAGGGTGAAAAATGTATGGGGACCGGTTTCACCATACCCAAGCTCTTTTGGAAATAGCGCACAGCAAGGTACGTATCCAAAGATAACCTGTTACCCCTGGTAGTGTTGACAGTTTATAGAATCTGGCTTCAATCCTGCAGCTGAGGCATTCCGGAATTTCGATGCAGATGCGCAGTCTGGCATGATCACTAATCTCAGCCTGGATCATGACGATGAACGACGACGCGGGGCATCTCGGGCAAACAGTGTACGCTTTGATGAGAGCGCAAATAATCATTATGGATCTACGTCCAGACAGTCAGTCGATCTCTTACCGCTAAGAACCGGAAGCGGTCTGGGAAGCCACCCACTTTCGGAGAGATCGTTATCTCATCGTTCTGATGGCAAAGGCAGCATGTCAGGCATTTCAATGCGCGCAAATAGCTTCGGTTTAGAGCAGAGTCGTCTGCTTGGCTCTATGACAAGCTCACCCAAAGCAGCTGGTAATCCACCACCAGCCTTCTATGTCCTTGGTCCTGTCCCGGCAATCATCCGCTGTTGGCTTACTGAAACTTTCTCGAATGATTCCCTCCTTTATGCAGCTGTATGTACAGGCTCATACGCATCTTGCATCACTACATCCCTTATTCGTCGCTATGGGTTGGACGATCAGACAATTGAGGAGAACGGGGTGCGCAAGATCAAGCTGCCGATATATCTCACAGAAGCCACAATCCAACAGTCGTCCTCCAGATCAGCAAGTCCAGCTCCACAAGTGCCGACGCTGGCTGCGAAGTTTGTGGTGGTCGACTCTGCCGTTGAGGATAGATGTGTGCAAGTCGTGATCGGTAGCGATATATTACGTGCTCACAATGCAGATATTCTCTTCTCGCAGGATAAGCTGATGATATTTGATGAAGACCGCAACCGACTCGCAATACCACTTGTCAGACCAGAAAATGATGCCACGTATAAGGGATTGTTTACGCAGACCAGTCCCCAAGGACTACAAGGCCCTCTACCGAGTTTGACGAATGGCACACCCGTCGCTGGCATTATTGGTCGTCCAAGTCAAGATTTGCAAGCCGCTTCGTCGTTGGCATCGTCAAGTGGTGTTACCTCTAGTAGTATGGAAAGTGACCAGCCGAAAGAGGATCAAGTTCCAACAACGAGCGAACAGATCAGTATTGAAAACAGCGCCCCGAGACCACAAGAAGATTCCACATATACTACAGAAGGCGACAGATCATTCACAACTCCCACTCCCACGTCGCGCTCAAATTCTGGTGTATGGGGCAATTCGTGGAGATCGTCGTCGGTGAGCCAGACCGATCCAGGCAAAACGGCGTCCGGATACTCGCGAGCTGGTGCAAGTCGTGGCATGAAAGTACTAAGACCAGGGAAGTCTATGGCCAGCTCTTCGAGGGCCGGATCAAGTGTGGGACCCACCGGGCAAGAGAACAACAACCCAAATGATGAGGGCCTGCGCAGCAAGTCTGGCGTGAAGATGACCGAACCACAATCTCAGCCAACCAAATCCAACCCTATTGGTCAGGCGTCGGCGTTTGGCTGGCTGAATTCAGGCCAACATTAAAGGAGGGGATTCCTTCACTGCTGGTTCGTTATGATAGCTTGGGATATGCGTGAGGTCCAAAATACCTACTTGATCATGTCTTCACTGTCCTAATAGCTGTGGCTTGTGGGATACTTGAAAGGCCTTCTTTAGGGCTATTCCGAGCAAAATCGATAATCCAAGAGCTCCGGTGCTCCAGGCATTGCATGTCTGCTTCTCACGACTTAGAGACAATAGCATAAAGCGGTTTAATCTCCCTTCATCTCTGTGATCTTGTCTTAAACCTTGAAGCTATCCCCAGCCTGGTCAGTCTTAGCATGTGGCTGACCAATGAGCGTAGCCAGAACACTGCCATATGCCTTGAGACCACATTGCTTGCGGCTTTTGACTATTTTCTTTACGATGTTTCGTGTGTTGTAAGTAAACATTGTCCACCGAAAGGCTGCGGCCAACTTCATCACGAACGTTGGTGCTTCCGTAGACATTGATGTCAACCTTAATGACAGAATCATGCTGCCTTTTAGCACGATCGATACATCGAAGAGTGTCTTTAATGCTCGCGAAAGCCTCGAGACGAAGCGAAGGAATTCTAGAGATTCGGTTCAAAGGATCGGTTAGTGAATCTTTGAGCTGGCCAATCTGGGTTCCATCTTCAGATAGAAGAGAAATAAATTGGGTCATGAAGGCAAGTTGCAACGGAAAGGCGATATCTTTCGGGGTAATTGCCATTAATTCAGAGCGTAAAAATGGCATGTTTCCGATGAGCCTTGCTTCTAAAGCATGAATCATCCCGAAGCATTTGATGCTCTCACCTGTCTGGTACTGGACTGAGTGCGTCCCGCTCTGCTCTATATCTGTGATGTCGGCATCTTCAGCGACGCTAAATGGAACAGTGGCTTCTGCCCATACTTGAATGCGATGACTGACGTCTGTTGTGGTTGTGAATTCTTCAGAAACCTCTTTTTCAAAATTAGATGCAGACCCAGGGGCCATTGGACGCTCTTCAAGCAGTCCAGAGTCATCATCGCATCCAGCAGGGGTTGTTCCCTTGTGACAGAGTATCGAGGGCCACACCTCGGCCCATGACAGCTCTAAGACGCCTTTGGATGAGACCTCACCTCCAGAGGTAGCATGCCTCTTTACAGGAGGCCAATCGGTGGATGCAGGACCATTTGCTGTGTCCCAAGATCTCTTCGAAGTGTTCATACGCGAAAATCTACCTTCTTGATCCTTAGGGGCTTAAGGCGCACGAAGGTCTAGAGAGGTGATGCGGAGGCTAGTGTCAAGCTTCAGCATCCTTCTAGCGAATGTATGAACCTGATTTCGATGGCTGAATCAGAACTATGGCACTTACATGCATGAAAACAAGATGAGAGAGATATTCTCCGCTTTACGAGGTACAATAGATTTTATAGCTAATAGCAAACCGAAAGGCGTAGAAAAGAAATAACAAGCAAGAGCGCAATTTTGCCGGCATAGCCGTTGAAATCCGAAGGGTACGGCTCTGACACGTATGTGTTACAGTACCTTGTCATAGGCTCTGACACTTCCATCTCTCACCGTACTTTGGAAGCGCTTCTGGTGTGGCGGCGCAAGACGGCAAGGCTGGGTTAGGTATGTAGCGTAATCAGGACAAATCCACCTTGCTGTCAGCCTCATCTACGATTTGCGAAGGCCGTCTCTGGTTAAAGCAATCCAGCTCATCCACATGAATGCCTTTCATCAAACCACTAACATAGTGCCACCGGGCATTCTGATGGCCTCGGTGCCGCTAACAAAGGCACAACGCAAGTGTTGCTTTGACATTAATCACCTGAGAATCTTTGTCATATTGGCACGCAATGGCGACCACTCAAACAAAAACGGCTACGTCACCAGTAGAGAAAGGATTTCAGGAATGCCTTAAAAAATTCAAGGCTCGTTTGAGCAAACGAGAGCACGACAGTTTCAAGTTCACCACTCTTGGAGATCTTCGTCAAGCTCTCTTGCAGATTCAAAATAAACAGGCTGCCAAATCAGAATCAATGAATTTGCCGCGGGTTCTAGGGTTCCTCGAAGGTTTCAAACAATTTGGGCAGGTGGTGGAGGTCTTTTTGAACAGCTCGGAATTCGTGGCGTTCATTTGGTGACCCATGAAGTTCTTGCTTCAGGTGTGTTTGCCTGTTTGAAAATATAGCGACGGTCACGTTAACGAGATTTGGAATTGACCTGCTACAATATCTGGCGTGTGCTCATCATTGCATGTTTGACAGAGGCTAACCATGAGCTCCACAAGGTTGCATGTAATTTCACAGAAGCTTTCGATACTCTGCTGGATGCCTACGAGCGGATTGGGGAGTCCATGCCCCTGGTTGAGCAGTACCGAGAATTATTTACTGGGAACTCTCACATGGACGAAGCGCTTGCCAAAATATACGACGATATACTTGAATTTCATCGGCGAGCTTTGCGCTTCTTCAACCTGCCTACTTGGCGTCAAATATTTCGCAGTGTTTGGAAGGATTTCAATTCTCGCTTCGAGCACATTCTTCAGGATCTTCGTCGACACAAAGAATTGATCGAGAGCCAGGCGACTGCCCTTTATTTCAAGCAATACCAAGTGGATCGGCAGATGTTTTTTGAAAAGTTGAATCATTTGGAGACTGCTGAGAGAAAGAGAAAGTATTCAGAGGTTCTGCGTTGGGTTTTAGGTTCTGCATTGGTTTTTAGGTTCTGCATTGGTTTTTAGGTTCTGCATTGGTTTTTAGGTGCTGATGCATTACTGGATCACGAAGACATCTGCAAAGTAAGGCAGGAATTCCCAAACAGCGGCGGATGGCTATTGAAGCAACCCGACTACTCTAGCTGGAGACAAGACAGCGCCCCAAGAGTGTCAACCCTGTGGCTCAGTGGAATTCCCGGGGCTGGTAAAACAGTTCTTGCGTCTCTTGTGATTGTGAACTGCAAAGAAGATGTAAATGCTAGTACAGCATTCTTCTATTGCAAATATAATGATCCGCAGAGGAACACATCTGTTGCCGTTTTAAGAACTTTACTAAGCCAGCTCTTAAAATATGATAATGATCTTTTGCCTTGGTGTTATGATCTATATCTGAATAGTGGCCAACTCTCTCTTTCATCCGGAGATCTCTGTAAGGAGATTTTGAAAGCGGTTCTCACGAATGGCGACAAGACCTTCATGGTGGTTGACGGAATTGATGAATGCGACAAGAAAGAAGCAAAAATATTAATCAATGTTCTCTGTGACATGGTTACTGTCTGCGACTCGCAAAATCCTGGGAAATTACGAGTCATGGTCGTCAGCCAAGATGAGCCCGACATTCGGAGGAATCTATCTGCCTTCTCTGAGTTATCGCTCAAAGTCATTGGCAATGAAGGTGATATCCACCGTTTCGTTGATGTATGGTGCGGGAAGATACAGGATAAATTCAAGCTCGAGGAGGAGGAGAGGGACTATATATTTGAGTCGACGTGCCACCGAGGTAATGGTGAGTATTTGTTAACATTGAATCTACGAGGCTAGCTTACATATCTCTCCTAGGAATGTTTCTCTTTGTCAAATTGATCATGATCAATCTCTATGATCAGGTCTGCCTCATGGATCTACAGGAGCAAATTCGGCCCGACAAATTTCCGCCAGGCCTCAAAGAGGCGTAAGTTTGATCTTCTTCATTAGACTTGGTGTTTGAAGCAACCTCGACGAAGGAAACATCTGTGGAATCTTATGCATGTATAAGAGATTTAGCTAATCCTTACTTACAGGTATGAGCGAATCGTGGACCGGATAAACCATCGTCCCCCACCAGAACTTTCAATCGCGAGAAAAGTACTACGCTTGATGACATGCGCAAGGCGGCCTTTAAAATGGCATGAAATCCAAGGTGCAGTTTCCATTAGCACACAAGATCTAAGCGTAGACTTTGTCGAGCGGAAGCCGTGTATACATATTCGAGATAAATGCTCCACCGAAACCAATGAGTTGGATGTCTTTAGCCTAATCCGAACAGTTGAGCCATCTTGTCACTTCCACGAGCTCTGGACCATTACTCTTGAGAATCTCAAGAGATGTAAAGAAAGATGAAATGTTTCCGGATCGGAAGTTTGGTGGAAGTGGGCAAAAACATCGCCGGTTCCGAGATCGGGATCGTCCTTGTGATCCGCCAGCATTGCGATTCTTCAGCAGTTAGATATCATCCTTTTGGTCTCTGAAACAGCTACATAGTATATGATCTCGTAGCTGATTATGTAAAAGGGTTATATCTTCTCCATTTCGGAAGGCCGTCAAGGCATAGATAAACTTCACACCTTATTCGAGCATAACCATATCACGTGATAAGGGATTGTCCTGATAGGCCGAATACGTGTGCTTCGGTGAAGTTCTCTCACGGCTTCTTCCTCTGATACAGCTTCAGGATCTCCACATTGCCCACCGCAGCAGCAACGTCCAACGCTGTGCGGCCATTCTTATCCTCCTGCAAGGGATCGCATCCGAGATCGACCAACCTCCGGAACCAGCTTGCGTTGATATCGCCATCTTCCTTACTATCATCGCAGAGAATCGACCTGTCAGTTCTGAACTTCCTCTGCGCAACCGCATGCAGCGCTGTCCCACCGTCATTCTTGGTAGCTTGGAAATTGGTGCCGTGAGAGATGGAGAATTGGAAGGGGTCAAAGTTTTTGTCTAGTTTAATTTCATACCGACTTGTAGGCGGGCCACCGTTTGCTAGGAAGCAGTGCAGAGCTGTTTCTCCGGTCTTATTGCGGGCGTTGATGTCTCCGCCGTTAGAAAGGTAGCGTTCCATGAGTGGGTACATATTTTGGTGGCTTGGAATGTGGCGGCAGCGGTACAAGTGATGAAGAGCGCTGTCGCCATTGGGATCTGGCTCGAGTAAGTCTGCATTACCCTCGTCGATGAACTGAAAGCATGTCTTGATCTTCAGGGACTTCAGAGCGCAGTGCAAAGGTGAGAACCCGGCGCTGTCTTTCTGCAGGATCAAGGCTCGTACCCCAGTTATGGGAAGGAAACGTGCTGCAACCTTCTCGTTCCATTGGGACATCAGATATCGAATCATGTTATTTCCTTTGTTGTCGGTTGCAAGGTAGTCGATCGAATCGCCGTAAAGTTCGGAGTCTGCCAAGGCCATGTATGCTGGTGTGTACTCGGCTCTGAGACGATTCTTTTCCTCGGGGGGGAAGAATCGGGGGCTGCTACTTTCCTCGTGATCTACGCGAGATTTGCAGGCAGCCATGAAGACAGTTCGGCCCCTTTGATCTCTGGTATTGACATCTATGCCGGGCCGATCAAGGAATGGGCGAAGAATCGATGTTGGTACTCTTTGGAAGAGATAGTGGATAAGAGTGTCGTGATCACTGATGGGAAGGTCGACTTTTGCACCGTGCTTGAGCAGCAGGCTAATCATCTTCGCTGCGGTGGCGCTGTCCCACCCCGAGTATGGTGGTAGTTGAGCTGCCTTTAGAATTGGGTATCTCTTGGAGATGGAGCCTGACTCCCAATTCCTGTTCCCATAACTCGAGTCCTCTGAAGTATCAGCGACATTGCAGTCCGCTCCATGCTCTAAGTAAGCCTTCAAAGTATCGACATCACCGGCTTCGACAGCTGACATAAGCACTCCTTTAGTCCCAGCATTGATGTCTGCGCCGTGCCTGAGCAGAACTCTGATGAGATCAGCGTCCGGTCCAGCCATATTGAGGGGCACGAGGCCTTCAGGGTTGAGTCTGTTGGGATTGGCTCCGAGTTTGAGAAGCACCTCACAGCATTGAGGTCTGAAAAAGCCTTGATTTGTAGAGCCGAATTTAAGATAGGAGCTCGCATATTCAAGGGGTGTGCGGCCATTATCATCGACGCAATCAACTTCGGCGCCTAGCATTTTTCGTTAGCACTAGCATCAAGATCAAGGAAAGTAGCCAACCATTTTGGACAAGGAATTTGATTGCTTCCACCTGCCACCAGTAGTTGCCCTTTGCAAGGACATGCAAGGCTGTTGGTCCTGGGATGTAGTTGCCAGTCTCTTGCCAGCCGTCTTCCTTCTCCTTTACCTGATGGCAAGCATTCACATCTGCGTGACCTTTAATGACCAATAGTTTAACCATTTCCATGTTGAAAACTGGTCGGTCGCAAGCAATGTGTAGAAGCGGCCGAAATTCGCCGATCTCTTTGCAAGACGGAGATTCATCGTATATCTTCGCTTTGTCGATGACTTTGATCATCTTCTCCGTCATCCCTTTCGCTGCCAGTACACCAAGAGCAGTGCCTGAAAATTCGTCCTTGGCCAAGTCGACACCTCTGGCAATCATCTCATCCAGTGTGGCTTCGTCAACCTCTGAAATGTACAAGGCTGGGCTCTCCATCAGGTCTTTATATGTGGACGCATCGAACACCTTCTTCACATTGTTGACCGCAAACATCAGGTGGGCCTCATCGAAGCTTGGTGATATCGAAGGTATCCTTCCTCTAAAAGCAGCTACCAGGGCCGTGCTCTTAGCCTTGACAGCCGCCTGCAAAGCAAATTCGTCGCTGGCCCCAGTATCCAACAGCATGGAGGCGATTGGACCTATGCGAACAGTATCATGCTGCTCCTTATCCTCTTTGGAGCTTTGGCAGTATCCTGACTTGAACGCAATAGGTCTAAATTCGTCTAAGGGTGCAGTCCCACTTCTTAGACATGACCACAGCTTATCTTCCTGTTCAAACTCGGTACAAGCCATCAGAGGGGATCTTGAATCTACAAAAGCACTAGCAGAATGGTCGTATGGCTGGCAAGCGCAGGCACCGTGATCAAGTAAGATTCGCACCGACTCAGGTCGGCCCGAACAACAAGCATCATGGAGAGGCGTCCGGTCACCTTTGTCTTTAGCATCGACATCAAGTGCTTGATCCAATGTAGCTGCTTCGTTCGCATGGTCAAGAAGCATTGCAAGAACATTGCTCTTGCGTGCTCTTGCAGCGCAGTGAAGCGGTGTTCGAAGATTAAACGCTTTGGCAGATATGCATGCACCGGCTTGCAACAGCTTGAAGGTTTGAGCCTCTGAAGAAGCAGCAGCGAGGTGCAAAGGGGTGTAGCCGTCGATGTCTTTCGCATTCAAGTCGATGTCAGGATCGTGCCGAAGGAGGATCGAAAATATGCTTTGTCGAGATGCTTTGTCTCTCGAGGAGTCATTAAATGCATCAAATCGGCGGAGAATATGCCATGCAGTACGCCTCTGCGAATTTAAGGCACGTATAGGGACACCCAGCTCTATCAATTTCTCGACAAGAGCGATGTCTTTAGCAAACCCTTCGAAGCGAGTCGCAACTTCGTGGAGCAGGGTGTTTCCGTTATTGTCAACCCATGTTGGATCTGCTCCGTGGTCGACAAGCATCTGTATCATCTTGAGAGGGTTGCGAGAGTGGCATGCAAGATGCAACGCAGATTTTCCTTCACGGTAGGTTCGAGCGGTAAGCAACGGGGACGAATACTGGAGCAGCGCATTCACCTTATTTTCATCGGGTTCTGTGATAGCGTGCAGCAGGACAGTTTTGCCCTCTTGATCGCAAAGCTCAAGATTAGCACCGGTATTGATGATGCGCTTAAGCTTATCTTCATTTTTGTTGTAAGATTCGGTGTATAATCAAAAAGCATGCAAGCATGTCTGGCCTAGATCGTTCTGCAGGTTCACATCCGCTCTGAGATCGAGCAGTGCGCCTAAAGCCTGCTTCTGTCTGAAGATATCCTTGACTGCACACAAAAGCGGAGTACTGCCTTGTGCGTCACGAACATTGACATATGCTCCATGGCTTACAAGAAGCTTAATCATCGAATCTGCGTAGTGTACGTTCGCAACTGCGGAGTGCAATGGCGTAGCTCCATCAGAGAATCGACGTTGGGAATGATTGGCACCGAGTTCAAGGAGCATCTTCACAGCATCAGTCTCGACAGAGGTTTCACAAGCTTTGTGCAATAGTGTCCCGCCTTTGTTGTCCGCTGCAAGCGGATTGGCGCCAGCAGCAATGAGCATGTTCATAGATATGAGTGATACACCTGAAGCAAAGACGCCTCCTATTGTCGAGAGTAGCGGAGTTTTCCCCTCATGATCTCGCGCCTCCAAGTCAGCTCCCGAAGCTAGGAGCATCATTAGAATCTCCTTTGCAGCGCTTTCGGATTCCTTCTTGATATTTGCCTTGACAAGGCTGTGAAGCGCCGTATCTCCTTGCGGTCGTGCTTGCCTGTACTTGTTTATACTCCTTGAAGACGATTTCTTTGCGTCCGCGCCTCTGTCGAGCAATATGCGTACAGTGGCAGGGTCTAATGATTTTGCAGCAAGTATTAGAGCAGTCTCACCGCCGGTCGTGACGGAGACAGACTCGTGCCGAACTTGAAGCCTTCCGTCTGGTGAAACACTTGAGTTGTCTAGAAGTGCTGCCACTAGCTGAGAATGGCCACCTTGGGCTGCCCAACAAAGAGCGTCCTCCAGATCCTCGGCTACGGTAATGTAAGGAATCATCTCAACGACGGACTCCGTATGGCCTCCCATGCTCGCATAGCGTAGAGGGGAATGTCCCACGCTGGTCGGGGCATTACCACAAAAGCGACCAATGTCTTGCGTTTTCGAAGTTGTTGGGGATACTCCAGCAATAAGGAGAAGCTTCACCACTTCTGAATAGTTTCTCGAAGCGGCGACATGAAGGGGCTTCAGACCCTCATACCCATCTAGATCGGGGTTCGCTCCATTCTGGAGAAGAAGATCTACAAGTAGAGCGTGTCCTGACCTAGCCGCCCAAAAGATCGGAGTGTTCTGGGTACTGTCGGTTGCATTGACATCAGCCCCATGTTTGATGAGATGCTCTGACCACGAAGACAAGCCATATGATGCAGCGACGTGCAAAGGAGTCACATTTCCGGCGGCGATGGGTTGGTTATCATTTCGAGACACGAGTCCAAGCCAAGCTCTGAATTGAGGCTTCTGCATGTCACTGAATTGCGTCAGGGCCACGAGAAATTCCGGATCATTTTTATCGTAACGCTTTGCGTGGTAAGGCCAGTTTCTCGCAGCGTACTCCAAGAGCGGATATTGGAGGAACACGCTTCGGAAGTCAAATCCGTCCAAATGAAAAGTCGAACCTGATCCCTTGTAGTCTCCGTTTGCTCTGTTCCCGTCTGGATAATCTCTGAAACCATTTCCTCGGAGGCTGGCCAGACATGTCGTTGCGATGTTACGGTGTGCAATTGTAGGATCAATGACTGGAAATTGAGCCGTGCCTGCGCTGAGACGTTCCGCATCGAGAAGAAACTCGGTGAAGGAATGGTGCAGGATTTGAACGACTTCGTCTTCCATGATCTCTAGCAAAGACCCACAAGCTGTACGCACAACGTCCTTGCTATCTCGGCCAGTCTCGCCATGAATAGCTTCGATTGCTTTGGCAATTTCGATGAGGCGTAGTGGTCTGGCAGATTGGGTGACTAGCTGCAAAATGAGAACTTGAATTTCTTGGTTAACCTGAGAGGCTGCCGCGTGTTCGAACAACATGCGATTGTACATTTCCTCAAGACCGACTGGAAGCTTGGCAACCATCTGACAGATAGTACTTTCGTCGAGCTGCTCCTCTTCGATCGACTGAGCAATCTGATCAAGCATCAGACGAGCGTACAGGAAGAGACCTTGTGATCGATCGCAGACTGTGGTTTGAATAGAGCTTTTCGACCGTTGACTCAAGTTTCCGAATTGAGAGATTCGCTGTTGAACTAAGACAGAAATGTCTCGCTTGACCAACTCTTCTTCCAGGCTGACATGAATAACTTGGGGATCTTTCAAAGCTCGCTGAAGATACTGCTTTGGCCTGCTTGTCATCAAGACCTTAACATGTGCAGGTCTGAAGTTCCCCATGGCATTCATGCGCCCGAGGAAATCCTCATCAAGATCCATCTCATCAAGGGCATCGACAACGCAATATGCTTTCTCAACACTTCGTAGAGCCAGCAGCAGGATTTTCCAGAGCTGGTCAGTGGAGATAATGTCGAGAACTTTGTCGTCCTCAATTAGTTCCCAGAGTGACACCTGTAAGACCTCACTAGATGGGAGAAGCTGAGCAAGCCAGTCTCGAAGAAGCGATCGGGAGTTCTGGTTGGTCTCGATGATCTGTCGGAAGAAAAAGTAAAGGACCGGTACCGCCTCCTTTCTGGCGAGGGAGTCAACCATAGAGGCAGCGACAACCGACTTGCCCGCGCCGGGTACGGCCTTGATCCAGATGGAGCCATGGTCTTCAGATGAATACCATTGTTGGAATTGAGAAGTCTGCCGAATCCATTCACCAGTTCCTGGTGCTTGCGAGGACAGATGACGGCGATATTCACTCGATGAGGCTGTATAGTCAGTAGGGATGAGCCAGGACCTGATCTTTGTAAGGTCCGGCTTCTTTTCCAAAACGATCTGTTTCGCTATGTCAAGAGGGTCGACAAGCTCGAACTCCTCGGAGTCGGATGGGGCCATTGTTGAGCATGCGTGAGGCAGAATGAGCCAGGAGCAGATGCTCAATTATATAGCACCTAAGAAACTGTTGAAGTAGGATTGGACGATGTTGGATCTGTCTTTTTCCAAAGTTCGCCGCGTTGCATGGGCACCAGGTACATCAATGGGTGTACAACTGTTGAGATTGTCTCAACCATGGCTACCATCCTTGCTCACACTTCCAAATCCATATTCTGGAAAGTGCCGTCTTGAAGTGCGGAGGGACTCCGGACACGGGCTCCGGGCCCTTCGGGCCGAGAACATGGAATGCTTATCTAAAGCACAATCAACTTTACTAAGTAGTGAGTCATGCCGAAGATGCACCGAGGATGCACCGAAGATGCACCGGAGAAGTACCATCAGCATTGGACTTCTACGTATGTAGTAATAAGTAACTTTGCTCCCTGCAGCTGGGATCTTGTTGCCCATACCAATATCCTCAAAATCGTGCGTGTTCCTTTGGGCAAGAACGTGTAGCAGCACATAACTGCTCAAGTCGCTTTTACGAGATGGATAAACCAAGATTACGTAGAATTCCACTCGCGGTCTGTTTCTACATGGAACTGACCAGTTTGGCCTCTAGCGAACCCGGCATTATTGTACGTGATGCGCTCGACCAGTCTTGTACAGACAACCTCTTCTCTAACTTAAAGCAGCATATGCGATCTGCAAGAGAAGTTCCGTTCGGCGATATATGAGTTCCCAAAGATGTATGTCGTCGCGACCGATCTGGACTTTCCAAGCAAAACATGCCCATGCGTGGATGCTGAAAATCCTCCAGAGTAGATACAACTCAGAAGATGGTCGCAGCATGTAAGATGAGATCCAACCGACCTCCGCATGTTTTTGAAGTACACATTTCTCATGATCTCTGTCCTGTTGGTCAGGCAAGATCTTGAATATACCCATCTATTGCACTACCCAGAATGCGGCAAAGCTCGGCGCAACCGTCTCAGAACTCATCGATATCCTACCCGCCGATACCAAAGAGGTGGATAAGACCGCTTTCAGCATGGTATGAGCCACCTAGCATTCGCATACAACTTTCTCAGGCAGAAGACTCCCTTCTATCCACTCCAACGACTCCGTGCTAAGTACCGCCCATCCGATCTAGATGGTCCCCGAAATCACAACCCGCCTCTCCCAACAAGCTCAAGCCTTCTCCTCAGCCCAGTACCCCGGCTCGTCCTCTTCTCCTTACTCCCCGAACCAACCCTCTTACCCTAACCAACAACCAAACACCCAGCCCTGTCAGATCCTCCTCCTAGGAATCGAATCCCACATCTGCATTCTCCAAACCGCCACCGATCTACTGTCTCTCGGCCACAGAGTCTATGTCCTTACCGACGGCGTCTCCTCCTGTAATGCCGGCGAACGGGGGATTGCGCTAGACAGGTTGAGGATGGAAGGATGTGTGGTGACGACGAGTGAGAGCGTGCTTTTTGAAATGCTGGGGGATGCGAAGAGTGAAGGATTTAGGGAGGTGAGTAAGTTGGTGAGGGAGTGGAAGGATCAGACGAAGAGCGCGGTGGGGGTGCTTTGCCAGGGCTTATATGGTGGGCTAGAGGAGGGAAAGGACGACAAGGGAAGAGAGCAGAGAGAGGGGAAAGGGGAGGGACCTGGAAGTTTGAGTAGGTTGTAGGAGACATAACATGTTCCAGAGCATGCATTGCCTGCAATTGTGCCAGGTATACATACATGACTTGATCTTGTGACTGGCGGATGTGCCTTCAAATCTGGTAGGAGGTCTATCAGATTGCCTTCCCAATGACTGAGATGTTTCTTCTCTCTCTCTCAATACCTTCCAGGGGGCACATCATTCTGCAAGGATACAAGCACTCCCGTCGCTTCCTTCCAAGAACGAGAAACAGTCCTCCCCAGATAAAATCGTCTAAATGTCCACGTCCATGATCTCCCCAACCTATCCCTTCTCAAATCCCCACTCATCCCTCTCCCAACAACCTCCCCAACCCCTCCAGTACCGCCCTGACATCCTCCTCTCGCGCCCCCACTCCTCCTCCTCCTACCTCCCCATCCACGCCCTCCGCAGCTCCATCCAATCCTCCTCCATGGGACCCCGACCCAGACCCAGACCCCGAACCGGCCCCACCCAGCCAAATCTCCTTCAAGCCCCTCCCCAAGCCCATCAGATCCTCCGCCGCTTTGACCAGCGCCGTGGTCTCGACATCAAGATTGAAGGACTCGACTGCAATGCCTGCGTGTGTGATGCTGGGGTTCGAGCTTGCTCCCAAGGCGGGGTTGGGAGCCGAGCTCCCGGGGTTGGTGGTGTCGGTGTTATTGTTGTTGCTGCTGGGGTTTGTGCTGGTTGGCGGTAAAGCGATGGCGAGGATGTTTTCGAGGCGCGTCAGGAGGGTCGAGGTTGTGTGGGTTATGCGCGCTGAAGGAGGGGGTTAGAAGGGGTTGAGTGGGGGAGGGTGGGATATGTGGTATGCAAAAGGAGAAAGAAAGAAAAGAAAAAAAAACTTCTGCAGCTGCTAGAATAGCTGGTCGGAGGGAGCCGGGGTCGTATACATAATTTATACGCAGAGCGTAGTTTGCAGGTCGTGTCTTAGATTGACTTGGAAATGCGCTGAGCAGAGGAGTACGGAACTGAACAGTAGCCGGAGAACATGACTCGAAGTAGATAGAGGACAGACAACTTCATCCCTTCGCATAGCTAGGAGGCTTACCTTGGAGAAATCGAGCCGTTGGGGTGGAATTGTCCATCATGCCATTCCCTCGTGGTTGGGAATTGAGGTTCGGTCAGAGGATGACATCGAATATTGCTGTGTGCTATCGAAGGTTGGAAGGTTGTGATTCAGGTATTCATCTGGGGCACGGATGTGACGAGTACATTGGGTTCACCAGCTTCAATCGAGAGTTGTCACGCAGAGAAGTTGTGCTACGTTGGCCCTTAAATAACAAAAACAATTGAAAGATTGTGACCATTCGTCAAGCCTAAAAGCTGGTACCAACCGCCCAAACAGGTACTGTACATTCGTTTTCCTCGGCTCAGCATGGATAAGCATGCCATGTCAAAGGCGACCAAGACAGCTAGCTAGCTCTCTTGCACCAAGACCTTCATTCTTTTAGTAATTTCGGTCATCCTCATCACGACCCGCTTGAGCACGCTTTTCTGCTCCCTTGCGCTCCATGTCCTCATTTTTAAACAGGCCTCCTACCTTTTCCATCAACTTACCAGCGGTAGAATCCTTCTTTGAGCTGCTATCATCATCTCCAAAGCTGCTACTCTTGTTGCCATAGCCAGCACCACCAGTGCTTCCAGAGCCATAAGTATCATGGCCACCGACGTACGGTTTGCTGTGCTCCCCCATACCATCTGAACCACGATATTCACCACTATCACCCCCATGACTGCTGCTCTTGTTCCCAAAGCCTGCACCTCCAGTGGCACCAGAGCCATAGGTATCGTGACCACCGGTGTAGGTCTTGGTGCTGTCTCCGAGACCTTCTGACGCTTGGAAGTCACCCAGCTCCTGCTCCTTGTAGCCACCAGTTTTGTTGCCATAGCCGGCGCCAGCAGCAGTACCACTACCATATCCTGTGTCTTGGGTGCGGCCCGAGAAACCGTCGCTATCATCGCCGGTTTGACGGCCGCCGGCACCGTAAGTGCCAGAGTCACCACCCATACCGCCAGAGCGGCCAGTGCTGTAGGTGTCGCCTGATTCGCTTGCAACGCGCTCTGCGCGGCTGGAAGTACCGTAGGCATCGTCACCAAGTCGAGCAGATGACTTGATATCGTTCAGCTCGGAATCCCTTACGTGGAAGGGTATGCAGGCATACGCCATAACTGTCGGCACCTCGACCTGAGGAACCATATGAATCATCACCAGTCATACCGCCAGCACGACCACTAGCGCGATAGTTATCATCGTCTCCACGACGGCTAGATGACTGCAATATTCATCAAGCTCTAATGCGAGGTTGTGACGGAAGTACTCTTACCCCATAACTACTCTCATTCCCTCCATACCCACCAGAGCGTTCCTTTTGAGGGATGAGCTTGATATGTAAGGACAGCAGGTGGAACCGTGTTGGCTTACATGGTCATTGTTATAGGACATGGTTGGACTGTGATGAAACTTAATGGTGGAATTCTTGGTGGTCAGAAGAGAGGAGGTGAAACATGGAAATGTCACCAAGGCGAAGTGTGATAGAAGCACGGCTGGGAAATGAGGGCTCCTTATGGTTCCGAGGAGATAAGTTCACATCAAATCAACTCTGAACTGCCGGATGGTGCTTTCAGCTGTGTCTGTTAGTGCTTCATGTACTCGCCTTGATCCAGTGCTATGCGCAAGCAATCGGTAGATGGCATCTGCTCCTGCCAGCTCCATGGCAAGTGACGTAGGTGGACAGATGTATCCAGCTAAGAAAGATTCGGGATCGAGAACGAGATATCGGATCATTTCTCGAGTGGTTGACTTCATTATCTTTGGCTCCAGATAGCTCGCTGACCATGTGCGTGCTACTATGGCAGTGGTCAGCCGCGTTGCTTAAACTCTCTGAACCCGTTTCGCCCCGCACAGATGTTGCCCCTCTTCCACCAATCCCTCCAACGCAAGCACACAGGTGCTTAGTATTAGAGGCACGCCATTGGTGTCTACTAGTATCGAAGCAAGACGAGCAGGGGCAGCTCTCAGGTTCCTGGCGGGCTCCTTAACTTGCGTTGCTTTATCCGCTCTCCAGCTTCCTACGAACGGCCAGAACTTCGACCTGAGGCTGCCCCTGCCCAGCACCGATAATGATAATGGAGCATGTTGGCCGTCAACCATCAGTAGAGCCTGTGCGTACCTCTTGCCGGTATGGGAATATAGTGTTTCGGTCTCTGCAATGCCAATTGGAGTGTGATGCTCGGATATCGATCGGTGATAATCATTGATAGCTATGTCAATGAAGCGATACTTTTCTGATAGCTCTAGCTTGATCGAAGTTATCAACGCACGTATTTGGACTGCCAGGATTTAGCATGTCTGTGTGCTTATCACAGAATAGGTCCTCACCATGAATCTTTTGTGGAAGTCCGACCGTAGTAGATCCTGCCAAATCGTCAATAAGCCGGCGCTATCCAACACACAACTTCACTACTGACATTGACGAATTCTTTCTTTCCTTTTTGCTCCGTACCACGTGCCTGATTCTTGAATATCACATCGTCGTCCCAGCGCCTCTTCACGTTGAATGCTTTGGGGTTCAGTAGCGGGTTTCCTAAGGCTATACCCTCTTCTCGTTCCTCTTCCTCTTTGACAGCCTTCGCAGCTTCCTTGTATATTGTTAAGCCAACTTCTTGTAGGTTGGAATTCTCCGCTCACCTCTTTAGCTTTCTGCTCAGCTCTCTCTCGTTTGATCTTCTCCAGCTCGCGCATCAATTCAGCGGTTTCATCTTCCTCATCGCTTTCCTCCTCGCTACTATCACTGTCCGCGCCATCTGAATCTGCGTCAATATCTCGTGTCTCCTCTAGGATGCGCCTCCGTTTGGCCTCGGGATCTTCGTCCTCTGGATTGTCTCGCCCTTCTTCGAGCTGAAGTGGGCGTTTCGAAGTAGCGCCTGCATTGGCTGTCTCGTCGGTCTGTCTTCCATGTTTCTTGGCCTGATTAGCTGCTTCAGCTGCAAGAAGCTCAGCTCGAAGGTCTCGAGGTTGGTTGTCGGCATCACCGCCCTGCCCGAGTTTTCTGGAACAGTTAACCACCATTAGAGAGTGGAAGACAGACTAGACACACCGAGTCTTGAGTAGTGTATGGGCTGGAAGTAGACGTTGATGATAGGCGACACCCCGCTGCGCTTCCTTACCTCGAGCAGGATCAAAGGTAGGGCGATGTGCTAAGCGCGTTAAGAATCGATGTATATGTCCAGACCGGATTCACCAACCTGTAGTCATTACGAGAGGTTGAAGAGGAGGGACAACCCTTTCAGATCTTCTTTCCGCGGTATGTAACGTATGTGTATGTTGTAGGTGCCGGTCTGCAAAGTTCCTAGGGCGTGCCTTGTATGCAAGAAAAAACGCAGGGAATTTACAAAAGTCATGGCCGCATATGTACAAAATCATACCCCACAAGAGCGGCCACATTTTCTACCGGAAGCGCCAAGCCTGCCCCCTGCACCCAAGTATTGTACACAACTTGAAGCACATAAATTCCCTGCCAACGGAGTACACCTTACTCATTGCTGTACAGGATGCCTTGCCGATGCTGAGGTCGGAGCCTCCTTCAACTTAGTATGCCTCGTGAGGCGGAACTGTCCAATATTGAGAGAACTTTCATCCTCGAAGCTCTTGCTCAAAACATCCGGCTTGATGGTCGCGCCCGTGACGATTTCCGAAATCTTGATGTCTCATTCGGCGATGATTATGGAGCTTGCGCTGTGCAGCTGGGTAAGACAAAGTGAGTGTCCTACTATGATTAACACCTCAGTGTTCTCACAATCCTCAGGGTGAATACTCGTATATCCGCCGAAGTAACCAAACCCTTCGAAGAACGCAAGTTCGATGGCATTTTCACCATCACGACCGAGCTGAGCCCTTTGGCTTCGCCAGCATTTGAAACAGGCCGGTATGTGATATCTCGTCTCTTCATCCCTCCAGTCCCTGACGCTGAGAGGATAGACAGACGGAACAGGAAGTGATTGTATCCCGGATCCTAGAAAAGGCAATTCGGCGCTCCAATGCAATAGACACCGAGTCACTCTGCATTATTGCTGGTGCAAAATGTTGGTCAATCCGTGCAGATGTGCACGTCTTGGATTACGATGGCGGTCTTGTTGACGCCAGCTGTATCTCTATCATAGCAGCTCTACAACACTTTCGAAGACCTGATGTCTCCATAGACGGGGAGAATGTGACCATCTATTCGTTGGCTGAGCGCGAACCAGTACCTTTGAGTCTCATGCACCATCCTATCTGTATCACATTCAGCTTCTATCATGGAGGAGAAACAGTGCTCTTAGACGCTACACTGCACGAAGAGCAAGCTAGAGATGGTGAAATGATCGTCACAATGAACAGACATGGAGAGTTGTGTCAAATCGCAAAGCTCGGAGGTGTTTCTGTGGACGCCCTGATACTACTAGGTTGCATGAATATGACAGTAACGAAAGTGAAAGATATCACGGAGCTCATATCGACCAAGCTCAGAGAAGACGCGACACAGAGGGACGTTGGTGGGCTTATCGCTGAACTCAGTGCCCAGAACGATCGGTGAGAGCACAAGTGCTCAGCGAAGAAAGTGACTCAGCAAATTCTATCGGGCAGCAGCCACAGCAAATACTCGACACACTATGTCATTCAAATTGTAAGCATACTACGGTCTCACTGGATCTGGCAGCTGTCAAGGGAGGTTTATTAGGCTAAGCGCTTATAGCCGTCAGCACCTGGATATCACCCATGCACAGCAGTTATCAATAGGGTAGCAACGTGGAAGCAGAAACAGGGGCTTGTCAATGTTCCAACATGCGTCTGGTCACCAGTTGCCACAAGATCTGAAAAGGAAAGAGTAGGAACAAGCAATGCGAAGCACCTTGTTCAGATCATGCCGCCACTGAGTAACGGGCCAAGTCTGGGCATTCAGGTCGTGCTATCGAACTTGTCGAGTTGATAAGTCATGCTGCAGAGTAGAGTATGATTTTGATGAAACTGGGTTGGGATGGCTGATGGAGAGGGTCAGGATGTATAAGCCGCTGAAGCAGTAATCAATCGTTCACGCAAGCAGGGGAAATGTCCGTGCATGGCCAATTAAGCATTCCTACTAAGGTTCCTGAAACTGAGCTTTTTAGTTGTAACTTCCGCTTTTCATTACCCGCCTCGTCTCGGGGTATATTCTGTCGATCAGGGCAGACCCTGTATTTGTGCCTTCTAACGCTTCAGAATACTAGTAAAACTAGCGAGAGTACTCGTAGACAAAGGAATTTGTTGTTGAAGTGCTATTGGACAAGACTTTCGGTGGATCTGAAAAGGAGCGGATTACGTACGCAGACTGCTGCGGTGGGCTCCGTATTCGCATTCCAACTCAGCCACGAAACAACTGGAGCTCAACTTTGCGCCGCTTTCATACAGCTTTAGATATACAACACTCATTCGACATTCCAATGAGCCGACTGCGTAAAGTAGTCTGCTTGTAAGGCTGGGAGAAATTTGCAAATGGAAAATGGGAGACCTGCTCAAACTCGTGCACAATCGGACCCCAACGACAATGATCTCCTTGATCTCGAACGCACAACACCTGTATACAATAGCGGGCAGAGACCACCAGTGGATGACAATCAGCTATTACAGAGATACGATATAGACGATTCGGATCAGCCGCAACCCCGGCCTTCTGTCTCATACGATGAATTTGTTGGTGGAACAGGAGGCACAATTAACACAAATGCGCAACCAACGCAAACAGCGCAGGCAGGATCGAATGTCGCAAGACCATATTTTGATGCAGGGTCGAGGACCTACTCTCAGACGTCGGAACTGAACAATTACTCACGCTATTCCGATGTCGACGACTTTCCGGAGGATGATCACTCTACCCCAAGATACTGGAATGGCGGAGGAGCCTCAGACGAGAACATCCCTGGTGGTGGCGTCAATGTCATCAGGGGGGGCAGATCAAGGGATCGAAATAGTCTTTTGAGTCTTGGGGGTGGTATCATGGGCAAGGCGAAGAACATCTTGGGCATGGGCCCTCAATATTCGGAGATGGATCTGCCTTTGACGGAGGGTGGTCCTAGGAATGTAAGAGCCGACACAGCAGGAACCGACGAAGACCCAACGCCTCGCCAGAGCAAGTTCAGTAAGGACAACTTCAAATTCGGCATTGGGAGAAGGAAAGTGGATCCTTCCACCTTAGGTCCACGAATAATCCAGCTCAATAACCCTCCCGTGAATGCGGTCAACAAATGGGTGGATAATCACGTTTCGACTGCCAAATACAACATCGCGACTTTTCTTCCAAAATTTCTCTACGAACAATTCTCAAAATATGCCAATCTCTTCTTTTTATTCACCGCGATTCTTCAGCAAATACCCAATATCTCACCAACCAATAGATACACAACGATCGTGCCTTTAGTCATCGTATTGCTGGTTTCGGCGATCAAGGAACTGGTTGAAGACTTCAAAAGAAAGAGCTCAGATCAGTCCCTTAACCATTCGAGAGCAAGGTTTTCAAGGGGCTCCAGCTTTGAGGACACCAAATGGGTCAACATAGCCGTGGGCGACATCGTCCGGGTCGAATCTGAAGAGCCTTTCCCTGCAGACTTGGTGTTGCTTGCCAGTTCCGAGCCCGAAGGTTTGTGTTATATTGAGACTGCCAATCTTGATGGTGAGACAAATCTCAAGATCAAGCAAGCGATCCCGGAGACTGCACATTTAGTCAGTCCTGCCGAGTTAGGAAGGCTGACCGGAAGGATACGATCTGAACAGCCCAATAGCAGTCTCTACACTTATGAAGCGACTTTGACCATGCAAGCTGGAGGCGGCGAGAAAGAGCTTCCTCTAGCTCCTGATCAACTCCTTCTACGTGGTGCAACTTTACGAAATACCCCTTGGATACATGGAGTTGTGGTGTTTACTGGTCACGAAACGAAGCTGATGAGGAATGCGACCGCAACCCCAATCAAGCGAACGAATGTCGAGCGCATGCTCAACAGGCAGATTCTGATGCTCGTCGGCATCTTGCTTGTCCTCAGTTGCGTAAGCTCGGTGGGAGATCTGGTCGTTCGATCGACAGCAAGCACGAAGTTATCTTACCTGTATTATGAGTCCTTCAATGCTGCTGCTCAATTCTTTTCCGACATCTTCACCTATTGGGTGTTGTACTCCAATCTGGTTCCTATCTCACTTTTTGTCACGATCGAGATGGTCAAATACTGCTCTGCATTGCTCATCAACTCCGACCTAGATATGTATTACGCCGAAACCGACACTCCTGCCATATGTCGAACTTCTTCGTTGGTGGAGGAATTAGGGCAGATCGAGTACATCTTCTCTGACAAAACGGGAACCTTGACGTGCAACATGATGGAGTTCAGAGAGTGCTCGGTGGGTGGGATTCAATATTCTGAGGTTGTCTCGGAGGACCGTCGTGCGACTGATGAAGACGGAAATGGCGTTTTTGACTTTCCAAAATTACGACAAAACCTTCAAAGTCATCATTCTCGCACAGCAATCCATCATTTCCTGGCTTTACTTGCCACCTGCCACACAGTCATCCCTGAGCGTAAGGACGAGAAAAGCGAGATCAAGTACCAAGCCGCTTCGCCCGACGAAGGTGCCCTGGTTGAAGGAGCTGTACAACTTGGCTATAAATTCGTGGCGCGGAAGCCGAGATCTGTTATCATTGAAGTAGCAGGCGAGTCACTCGAGTATGAGCTTCTTGCCGTGTGCGAATTCAACTCGACCCGAAAGCGCATGTCGACCATCTTCCGATGTCCAGATGGCAAAATCCGAATTTACTGCAAAGGTGCAGATACTGTGATCCTGGAGAGACTGCATAAGGATAACCCAATCGTTGACGTGACGCTACAGCATCTGGAGGAGTATGCAACCGAGGGGCTTCGAACATTATGTCTGGCGATGCGTGAGGTTCCAGAGCAGGAGTTCAGGGACTGGCAGCAGATTTTTGAAAAGGCAGCAACTACAGTCAGCGGCAACCGAGCAGAAGAGCTAGACAAGGCCGCAGAGATCATCGAACATGACTTTTACCTTCTAGGTGCAACTGCCATTGAGGACAGGCTGCAGGATGGGGTACCAGAGACCATACACACCTTGCAAACAGCTGGGATCAAGGTTTGGGTGCTGACAGGAGATCGGCAGGAGACGGCTATCAATATAGGAATGAGCTGCAAGCTGATCAGCGAGGACATGACTTTGCTCCTTGTCAACGAGGACAATGCGACAGCAACAAGGGACAACCTCGGGAAGAAGCTCGAAGCAATACGAAGCCAAATTGCGAGTGGCGGAGAATTCGACGCCCTGGCGCTGATTATCGACGGCAAATCGTTGACCTACGCGCTGGAGAAAGACATGGAAAAGCTGTTCCTAGACCTTGCTGTTATGTGCAAGGCTGTCATCTGCTGCCGGGTGTCACCCCTTCAGAAAGCTCTCGTAGTCAAGCTGGTCAAACGCCATCTCAAGGCACTCTTGCTTGCCATTGGTGATGGGGCGAACGATGTCTCCATGATCCAAGCCGCTCATGTCGGAGTTGGTATCAGTGGAGTAGAAGGCTTGCAAGCTGCCAGGAGCGCTGATGTGGCCATAGGCCAGTTCCGCTATCTCCGAAAACTGTTGCTTGTTCATGGTGCCTGGAGTTATCAACGAATCAGCAAAGTCATTCTCTACTCCTTTTACAAAAATATTGCTTTGTTTATGACACAATTTTGGGTAAGCCAGCAGTCATGTATCATCGCACTCTGAGCTAATTTGGACAGTATTCATTCTTCAACTCATTTTCCGGGCAGGTCATCTACGAGTCCTGGACATTATCTTTTTACAATGTCTTTTTCACAGTCCTGCCACCCTTCGCGATGGGCATATTTGACCAATTCATCTCTGCCCGACTTCTAGACAGATACCCTCAACTCTACCTTCTCGGCCAAAAAGGGACCTTCTTTCGCATGCACTCGTTCTTCTCGTGGGTAGGAAATGGCTTCTACCATTCCATCATTGCCTATTTTATCTCTGCGTACATATATCATGATGACCTCCCGCTTTCAGATGGCACGATAGGAGGTCACTGGTTGTGGGGTACGTCACTTTACACTGCTGTCCTTGGTGTTGTACTGGGAAAAGCAGCGTTGGTCACGAATGTGTGGACCAAATACACCTTTATGGCTATTCCCGGTTCAATGTTGATCTGGTTGGTCTTCCTCCCAATATACGCCACGGCTGCCCCTAGGATTGGTCAAGGTTTCAGCACCGAGCTGCGAGGAGTCATCTCTGTCATGTTCACGTCACCAGTGTTCTATGCATTGGTCTTTCTCCTACCACCACTTTGCCTTGTACGCGACATCGCCTGGAAGTATGCCAAAAGGATGTACTATCCGCAAACCTACCACCATGTTCAGGAAATCCAGAAGTACAACGTTCAAGATTACCGACCTAGAATGGAACAGTTCCAGAAGGCGGTCCGAAAGGTGCGGCAGGTGCAGAGGATGCGGAAGCAGCGTGGTTATGCTTTCAGCGCTGGCGACGAGGGTGGCCAGCAGATGAGGGTGCTGAATGCTTACGACACCACAAGGGAACGAGGCAGGTATGGAGAAATGGTTAGCTCAAGAAGACCCGGGAGCATATCGTGATTGTTCTGGTGGCACTCTTCTGTGTATTTGAATACCTGTATCTGCATGATGGCGATGGCGATGACGATGGCGTTGGGTTGTGGAAGACGTTGGTGTGGCTGACCTACCACTTGAGGTAATTCCACCGATTGAGAACGTCTTGCACGCGTCTGAAGATCAAAGTGCCTAGGATGATATTTTACTATGTAAAGATTCCAAGGATTGTAAGTATACTAGTCAGTAGTACTCCGTAGTTGTAAGAGATTTGTACTGGTTAGAAGGCACGCAGTATTAAGGGGGGATCACTGATCAGGCGGCATGTGGTGTTGGTTGGCCTTGGCAGTGCTGCTCCTGCACTGCTACTCAGCCATGCATGTCGGACTAGAAACCAGGTACTTCGTACTCCATACAGGGAACAAATCCCCAACATACGCAATTGCGCACCACGTCTCTCGTTTTTCTTGTTACTTGGCCGCTGTCTCTGGTGTTGCATTGAACTTCCCACGCCTCTCACCTGGTACGACCCATCACTCATTCGCCATTGGCACCACTTCTCTGTGCCCTCGCCCTGCTTCCCAGACCGACTGTGCATTCCCATTCACAGTTGGATTGTGGTTGTTCTCTTGAGATGAAGAAGGCATTTCGATAAGCGAATATAGATGTGCCCCGGGACTAGCTTCCCATCATGCCCTGGAAAGGTCTTCGTTCACATGCCGCTGGCGGTATAATGTCTGGGAGGCATAGCTTTCTCGAGCAGCAAGATACCCACTTTCCGGAAGGCCACGAGACGGTCAGCTCATCAGAGCCGATAGCACAGCAGACTGACACCACCGACGACCGACCAATAAGTCAACCATCGTCTGACTCAATCTCGGAGAACCCAATCCAAATTGCACAGGCTACACCATCCGACGTAGACCAGACCAGAGAAAACGTTCCGCAGCGAACGAGAAATGGGAATGCCGCAACAGTGCCCAGGAGTCATCGGTTCAGTCTTCTAAGGCTCCGTCATGCATCTGATCCCCAGCTGTCCAAATCCTACAATACATCAGCATCCAGTCAAACACCGCCTCTTCCTGTCCCAACCAGTAAGTCCTTGACATCACATCATCCACCCACGACTGACGGCTGAATCTAATTTCTTCTTAAAGCACCCACGATCGTCACTACACCCCCGACTGTCAATGCTTCGAATCACAACAAAAAGATAAAAGAAAAGCTGAAGCTTACAGGACGGTCCCAGAACCCATCTACAGAAAATGTTGCGTTGAGACGTCAGAGCTTTGGAGTCGCTCTGGGTGGAGCTCTGGAATCAAACTCAAAGCTTCACATGTTCAATGCAAGGAATGCCAACAAGCACCATCCACACATCAGTTTTGAAGAGCCAAATCGCTTATCGGCGGTATCTGCCAGAGGTGCTCCGCCCGCATATGGGGACGTAGCAAATTCATCCTTGTCGCTGCCACCATCGAGATTGTCTGAGTCCTCCAGATCCGACGGGAGCTCTGGAGAGCATGGTATCTATGCTGAGACGACAACGACCCATACAGTCTCAACCACTACAACGTTCTTCCGCTTGCCTCGCCGGAAGAAAAACAAAGGGCATCTGTTTCCTCTTCCAGTGAAACCATCACAAGAATCAAAGATAGATGGAATCAGGACGCCGAGATTACCGGACAGCGGCCGCACATCCATGTCGCCGGGAAGAAGACAGGCTCAGGACAGAGGACCCGTTACTGCAATATACGCCCCGAAACCGTGTGCGGGATCTGGCCTCGAGCATCCTTCTCCGTTGCCATCTCCAACACACTCCGCTATAGCACTTACTAACGCCCCCTTGAGCTCTACCACACCTTCTCTTATCCGCAAGGACTCAATTACGTCTTATCGTTCGGCAAAATCATCACCGTCAATGCCCATGCCGCCCGCGCTACTAGGCTCAAGAGGGCGCTCGTCAACGATGGGCTCACTGAAAAAGGCGAGAGAAGCCGAACAGCAATCGTCGCCACAAGTAGCTCTTGCAGGTCGTACGTCAACATCGACTAGTGGGAGAAAAAGCTTTGGTGACATCTTTTCGCTTTCACAAAGACTTCGCCAGAACTCCGAGCCATCAAATTTTGGGAATGGTAAGACTCTTTCTGGAGCTCCTGGGACGCCGGCGTCGACAGGTTCGAAATCGAACTCCTTCCAGATCCCTCGGGAGCCTGTAATTTATCCGGAACGAGCTGAGGGTGATACGCCCGCCACGTACTTGGCGAAGCTCGAGGAGGCCGTCAACCGAGGTGTCATTGCAGCCATTCTCTGTAAAGGTTTTGACGAATTTTCCAAAGTCTGTTTCCGAAAGTACATGAGGGGGTTTTCGTACTTTGGAGATTCCATCGATATGGCTGTTCGGAAGATGCTCATGCAGGTTGAACTACCAAAAGAAACACAACAGATTGATCGACTATTGCAGGGATTCGCTGATCGGTACTGCGAATGCAATCCTGGTATATTCGCAACCGTGGATGAAGCTTATTTCGTTGCCTTTTCGATCCTGTTGCTACATTCAGACACGCACAACAAGAACAATAAGCGCAAGATGCAGAAAGCTGACTATGTCAAGAACACTCAGGATCAGGTGGAGGTGTCACACGACATCCTTGAATGCTTTTACGACAATGTCTCGTACACTCCCTTCATTCATTTTGAGGATGAGGTCGCCATCAATAGCCATCGGTTGGGAGCACCAAAGCCCAAGAAAGGACTTTTCAAGACACCCAGCAATGACAATCTACGTGGTCCAGTCGATCCGTATGCGCTGATTCTAGATCAGAAGCTCGAGCTTCTACGCCCATCGTTGAAGGACGTCATGGACACAGAAGATACGTACAGCTACACTGGAACCGTTTCTTCTCTGGATGCAAATGGCCTGTATCAAGCCTTCCACAAAGCTGGTGTCCTCCAAATTGTGTCAGCCAGGTCAAGACCAGATGCTTTTCTTTCACAGGCCACCATCAGCAACCCAGCTGAAGCCCAAGCTGGACTGGTGGACATCAAAGCCGCCAAGGTGGGATTGTTGTGGCGGAAAGATCCGAAAAAAAAGAAAGCAAGGTCACCATGGCAGGAGTGGGGGGCTATTCTTACAGGATCGCAGCTCTACTTTTTCAAAGACGTTACATGGATAAAAAGCCTGATCTTTCAAAATGAGACTCAGCAGAAATCAGGTGCTGATTCCAATCCTATCATTTTCAAACCACCTCTCTCATCGTTTCAACCCGATGCGCTTCTGTCCATGGATGATGCCGTTGCCTTACACGATGCCGGCTACAAGAAGCATAAGCATGCATTTCTTTTTGTCAAGCATGGCGGATTCGAGGAAGTATTCCTCGCTAATAGTGAGGGAGATATGAACGACTGGATTGCCAAGCTCAATTACGCTGCTACCTTTCGAACTGCTGGTGTTCGCATGAGGGGCTTCATTGGTGCTAATTACGAAGGACAACGTCCGGAGCTCTGTCGAAACGACTCAGCAACGTCCACAAGAAGCGGTCATGCCATTTCAGGCGAAGTGCATGCTCATGGCCGCCATATCAATCAGCAGCTCGCAAGAGAAATCTTAGCTTACCGTCGGCAAATCATGACAGACAGGATCGCTGAAGCAAATGACAAACTTGCAACGGCGCAAAAAGAGCTAGACAACCTTCTGAGGAATGCAAGACATCTTCAGATCTGTTCACCCATCCAAGCCAAATCTCGAGAAGCTCTTGTACTAGCAGCTGGACGCATGTCAGCAAAGCTGAAATGGACACGAGTGGACATGTGGAGGACACGCTGTCATCGTGATGTGATGAAGATGGACCTAGAGCAGGAGATCGGTCTTACTTCTGCAGCGTCAATCCTTCGAGAGTCTGTTTCTTTGAGGTCTACCCCTCAGAAGCGGGCTCCATTGAAATTGAGCAGCCAGTCCTTGAAGAAATCCGACACTAAAAGTGGTGATGCTGCCGCGTCGCCAAAAAGTACCTACTCCGTGCTTTCCGCCATATCTACTTCGCAAGCTATGCTAGATAAAGCGAGGACTCCTGATGGCCTGCGACATGCGTTATCAGACGACTCTGTTAGTCGCGGCCACCATTCATCGATTGGCTCCGTTGAGCAGTTTATGGCCGCATCTGGAAACTCAGCAGATGCCAAAAATCGAGCAAGCTCATTGTCAGTGCAGAGCCCTTCTGCGCCTTCTCTAGATCACAGACCTTCTACTAGCGGTTCGCAATTTGGGCGTAGCGATGCTGACAGCATTGCGCGTGGCTCGAGACTTACTACGCCTACTCCAAGCGTGGATGATGAGGAAAGACTGTTGCGGGAAGCTGGCATACTAGATGTTGAGCGGACTCTGAATGCTTTGCGCCGACCAGGTACGAGTGAATCTGACCCCAATCACCCCACTGTCACGTCACCAGATGCTTTGCCCAAAGACCGTACCGGGGTTCGTCGGAGCCTGCATCGCACATTACGGGATTCACAGCACGGTCATCATGGTTCACAGAGTGTACGTCTGCGCAAAGCCAAAGAGCCAGCTATGCATTCTTCTCCTGCTGCTTTGAGGCGGAGTTCTCAAAGTGGAGCCGAAGGCCTCACTAGAGGCACAGGCAGCTTTATAGTGCATGGGAAGAAGGCCTCAGTGATTACCTTCGGGTCTGAATGGCAGTCTATGTCAAACGAAGATCGGATACAGCTGAGAAAGCAGTCGCAGCCGGAGGAGAGGGAGGCTGATGCTGGCGCGGGTTCCAGCATGCTCTTGAGTCCGAAGGCAGAAGAAATGGAAGAGGCACACGACGACACTCCCTTCGATAAGTCTCGTACATCAATTCATAACAGTCGAGACATGAAACTAGGAGTTTCAACCCCCTTGGAAGCTGATGCAGCGGGCGTCGTTGTAGACAAGGACAACTTGGACCGGGATCACACAACAGACACTGAAGTAAAAGACAAGACACAGGATGAATGGTTCGTACACAATGAGGGAGTTACGGGTCATCGATGCGGCCATCAAGCAGGACTCGAGCGATCTTCTTCAGACTGTACCGCTGCAGATCATCTTTCTACTCCACCCACCGACCTCCGGCGTAGTCCAACACCACAAGCCGTTCATGCTTGAGCATCGCTAAACAACACTACGGGCATGGAATAAGCGATTTCAATGTCCCTACTTAGGCTAGGTGTATCGCAAGGAGCTTCGCAGCAAAGCAACACACAAAAAGACGTGTCCCCACCAGAGAGACAGAATCAAGGCGTTTCATGGTTTGCAAGGACAGGACGAAAAGTATTATTCAGGAACTTGCCGGGTTCAGCCGGTGCTACTTCATGCTCGATAAGGTTCAGCGGGTTTTCACATAGACAAAAGACATTCTGCGAGGTATCACGAACTTGCGGTAAAGGTGCGCAAAAGCTTTGGAAGGGGTAGACGGCGTTGAGGTTTGGGTTGGGTGATGGGAAATACCCTGTAGTACTAGCTCGCTGCGTATGGATGGTTCCTGTGTCGCTATCTTCTGAGCCAAACCAACTTAGTCTTCAATCAACAACCAATCTTGTGATCTTGATGGTTTTTGATTCGAATGTGCATGAGCATAGAGAGGTATATTACGGTGAGGAGGGTCTTCCATCTGCTCTCCGATGTTGTGCTAGATACATAGTTGCTGCACAAGTTTCAATATTGGAGGGTAGGACAGGTGCTTGGTCAGAGAAGCTTCATGGCTCCTTCCACCCGCCTTGAGATGGATCTATCTGGCTCTGGCTCTGGCTCTGTCTGGCTCTCGTTTTGCCTATACTGGGATTGTAGGAAGGCATGTCTTGAAACTCCTGAGCTTGCTGACAGGTGGTGGTGAGAAGGCGAGTCCTGCTCTTGACGAAGTGGTACCTGAATGGATACAGTCCTCCCCCAGGTTCTGGAGCGGAAAAAGCTTCACGACTCTTTCCCCCACGTTGCGATCTCTCTCTCTCTCTCTCTCTCTCTCTCTCTCTCTCTCTCTCTCTCTCTCTCTCTCTCTCTCTCTCTCTCTCTCTCTCTCTCTCTCTCTCTCTCTCTCTCTCTCTCTCTCTCTCTCTCTCTCCCCCCCCTCCATAGCTCTCGAGTCTTGCATATACTGGGATTCTAGAAAGGTACATCTTTAGCTCCTGAGCTTGCGGGCAGGCGATGGGAAAGGGAGCTCTGCTCTTGACAAGGTGGTTTCCTGAAAGTATACCCCTGGATCCCTCCGAGTATAGCCATGATGGCCAGTCAAGGCTCGGAGCGACGCATCAGGCTGATGTACGTTGCATACCCATGTACAGAGCCAATTACCGAGGATATTCAGCAAAGCAAGCATTTCATTTCCAGAGGGTAGGGTTGGGTGGGGTCTTCCAGAGACGTTTGGGGACCTCATGTGGTTACGCATCGAAAGGGCTGACGATAGACGGACCCCGAACCATGGAGGAGAGGAGATAAGGTCTGTTTTGTTTATCCTGAGTATATGTTGTTCAATGATGAGGATGACGTGTACTTGATGTAGAGAGAAAAGCATATCTAGGCTTGCGGAAATTGGTTGCTTTGCTGTTTTGGAAAGAGGCTAAGGCGGGCAAGGTCGTAGTTATGTCCTGCTCGCAGGGTCTGCTGTTAAGTCGATCCACCTTCAATCCCTTATTTAATCAACAGTATCAAAATGCAGTGAGGGCTGATAGCTGGACATACTGTTATCCTCAGTCTTTGTCAAAGGTTCTAGACCATTGCACGGGAGATAAGACAACCCGATTCTTGGTTGTGTTTAGAGTATAAGTCGGGCGTGACTTTAGTCTGACTGCAACGCTCCAAATAGGAGGCTTAAATGGCTCATCACTATAGATATTCACCAAGAACTTCCTTCAGTCTTGACCGGATTAGACACGCCTTACTCCAACAGCTGCCGACGAAGTACCTCGACAACTTCCACGAAGAAGGCTTTCGACACCGAGGTTTCTTGAGACTCGAAGGAGCCGTCCAGACATTTTATCATTGCATCACGATAATCGACTCCCATCCTGTGCGCAATACGCTTCTGGTTGCTTGGCTTGCAAAGCTCTCTCCGAAACGCGGCGGCGTCGTGGTTCCACAGTGGAAATGCGGTTGCCCACGTCCCAATCTCGAAGAGGATAACGCCAAAATTGTAGATGTCGAAAGTCTTGCGGTAGCTTTCTTGCGGCTGCCCTTGCGCAAGTGGGTGTCGGTAAACATTGAAACGCTCGCTATGTTCGAGCTTCTCTGATATCTCATCCGGCTTATCCGGACGTGAGTATGCAAAGCCGCAGAGGTACGGCCGTGTCCAGCATATATCGTGTCCTCGGGAAACGAATAGCACGTTGTGGCTTCGTATACCCTTGTGTAGCCAGTCTATACTGAGAAGGATCCACAGCGTCATCCCTAATGAATAAGCGACCTGATACCGCTGCTCCAGACTTGGCAGCTCCTCGGGCGGTGGCTTGTTCAACAACCGGTTGAGAGATACCATCTCTTCGCCTTCAACGGCAGGGGAGGCGAAGACGAAGCCATATCGTTTATGTTGCACATCATCGAAGTACCCGATACACTGCAATGTGACCATCTCGTCCGGCTTTGGTGTTGCATGAAGCATTCTTGCTAGATTGTCGTTGCGACCACGAAGAAGGATAGCCCTCTGGCCCTGCGATAGTTGGTAGTTCTTCCATTCGACCATCACCGGCTTGCCATCTCTCTTCCCCCAGCTTCTGCTTCCAGCTGCTCCTTCCTCGACCAACAGGTCAGTAGGAATCGACGCATTGCTCAGGTTTCGTCCGGGGATACTGCTCTTAAATTCCGCAATTCTCTTATCAAGATCTTCATCTAGTTTTTGACGTAGTCGGCACAGCTCGATGGTGCGTTCTATTAGCGGTAGTGACTCTCCTTCTCCTAAGAGCTCGTTGGCCATACGGGTTAGAATGGGGGGCCCATTTTGTAATAGAAGCGCTAGAATGCTCGCTTCTGGGTGGGGCGATTGTAAGGGCAGTATCATGTACAGCCCGCGCAACAGCGCCTCGACTTTCGCTAGCGTTGATTCTGCGTTGTGCTTCTGCCCGGCGGTCCATTTCATGCGCTCGCCCGCAGTGGCTTGTCCCCGGTCCTTCCCTAGGATGTGCATGGGTTCTAGCTTGCTGAGTTCACTTTGGACAGACCGCAGAGTGCTCTGAATGGTGTTGTCATGCGTCCTCAATATGCGAAGCTTGCCCATGGAGACTCGGTGCGCTGGCTGCCCGTACCAGTCTCTCAGCCAGCTATCCAGGATGTCTTTCTGGAGGAGAAGCTGCGTTTTGAAGAAGTCAACATCGTTGTCGAGATTCGAGAATCTTTCCCACACGCTCAGCCCACTTTTTACTGATTGAATAAGATCAAATGTGGTTGAGAAAGCCCCCAGGCTCAACCCAGCCACACCAACTTGACCGGCACGAAAGGCGGAATTCATATCGGAAGAGGTACAGGCTTTGGCTCGACAACTCAATGGAACAGAATATTATTTCTTGAGAAGGGTGCTGACGATTGTGTCAGGCTGGATTTCGGCCTTTCTTATTTAGTAGATAGTGGCGTGGTGATGAGTACGAGAGTTATCACACACTCCAAACCATGTTGCTTCCTTCACCACTACTATATCCGGCAGTCTACCTTTGCAGAACTTCTCGGTCTGTGCTGCATGGTGAGATCAAGTCATACTTGTTTGCTAAGTGCTTAATATTGCCTGCGTTAAGCATTATCCCTTCCCTCTTACTTAATATAGCAGCCACTTGACCTCGCAAGCCTGTGCCTAAACTAGGCTCCTCAGAACGTCACTTCATCGTCCCGACTGAGAGCCAGCATGAGTTCATTCTGGAAAGACTCTTTGCGCTTTTCCCAAGGGAGTCCTCCACTTGCAGAAGGTGTAAACCCTACTCGACCACGTGGGAGATGCACCAACTTTCTGGAGTTTCTCGCCGTGATGTTCTCGGATGCGGAAGGCAGAAAGATTGGGATGCATCCAGTTATGACGAGCTCTTCGCCAACCTTTTCAGACGTCAGCATGGGTGGGATCTCATTTGATGTGAGAAGAGTTAGAGCCTCCACGTTTCCCCAGGGCTTGGTTGATGAAGTGCTGAAAGACCGCGAATTTCTTGTAGTCAAGCAGCCTCGCTCCACAGGGACAGCCCTTTGCAATGAGGAGACGCTAGATGAGATCGCTACTGAACTTCAAATCTAAGACATAGTGATGTTCGGCAGCATATGAACATTATTGACTTTTTAGGGGTCGTTTACCACGATACTGGAAGCCCTACGTGTCCTCGAATCAACCCAGCTCTGGTGGTGGAATACGCGGAACTAGGCAACCTGAAGTCGTTCCAGGCAGATGGCCTTGGTCGTGACATCGTTGACAAGTTCGATATTTGTCATGACATCGCTGAAGGTCTATGCTGCCTTCATCAATGCGGCGTCATCCATGGAGATATCAAAAACACGAATATCCTGATGTGCAAGCATAAAACTCGCAACTTCGTAGCCAAGGTCTCCGACTTTGGCTTTGCCATCTCCGTTCACGATGAAAATCCACGCCTCGTTGGTCATACCTTCTATCTGGAGGCACCGGAAGCCAAATCACCGCTGCAACCAAAGCACTTAGTGCAGCTTGATATTTACTCATACGGTCTCCTGCTTTACACTGTGATGAAGAACGGAACAATGTTTTATGACAGCATACCAGTAGATGGTCGTTCAGAGAATGTTGCGAAGATGAAGAATTCTAATCTCTTGCCTGCCCTTTTACAAGCGAATCTGCTCCAGACTATGGACCGCGACAAGTGTCTTCTCCTGTTGTTCTGCAAAGTCTTAGCTTACTGCCTGCGTACAAACCCGGCCGACCGGTTTGGTAACATGCGCGACGTTCTGGACCATCTGAAATGGGCGAATCCACGAGATTTGGATCTATCATTGCATCGCAACGAAGATCTGTACAAGGTTTTGCGGCTTCCAACGTCTCTCTATACAGAATCCAAAGACCGTATACTAAAGGCATTCAACCAACAGCTAGATAAATACTGTGAAGATACCAAGCTCGAAATGCCTCTCATCGAAATGCTCAAGGATTTATACAGGCGAAGAATGGAAAGAGAAGTTGAAATGATCATATCTAAGCCGACAACCTCAGATGCAACGCATTACGATATTTGTCCTAACCTAGATTTAACCCTATGGAGATTCAACATCGGGCTCGCAACTTACCCACAGCCTCCTGAAAAAGGCGTTCAGGCGGCCTCAAAGTATGTGACGCTGACAATCTGAGCCACTTTCTGACATTTAACAGGAAAATCGAATCGCCTCCGACTCAGATACTGTTTGTCAACCAAACAATGCCAGATGTAAGCGTACTTCTCCACTAATCGATAGAAGTCAGTGACCGTGAATAGTTATCATCCCATCATGATGTTCTCCAGAAGATGTCTGATGCCATTAAACTCTTCATCGTACAGGAGCTTGAGCGACTAGGGGTGCAGGACGAAGATCAAGGACGTGCTGGAATCGCAACCTACAACCTAGGTTACTGCTATATTGCTGGAATTGGAGTCAATGAGGACATTGAGGTTGGAATTAAAAAAATGGAGCAAGCAGCGAAATTGGGATGTGAGCGAGCACGGAAGCAACTTCTCAGGTATTACGCATCTGAAAAGGTTCTTGATAACCTCCAACAGACCAATTTCGCTCTTTGGTCTGAGGATAGTCTCGAGGAGAGGGACAAGCCTGCCCTCCGCATGCTTGCAACCGTTGCACCGGACGTCCACTCACATCTACGAGCACAATGGGCCCTTGATCGTGCTCTCGTGCTTGACAACGCATCAGCAACCACCACCGTGGACCGCCCGTTGATGACGTGGAGGGCCCAGCTACTCCACTTCGCAGCGTCAAATGATATGCCCGAGCTTTTGGAACAGATGCTTCAAGCTGAGCCAGCAATTATCAACGCCAAAAACCACTATGGGCAGACACCTCTCATTGCTGCGTGCCAGTCGGCAAATCTCGGCATTGCGCTGTATTTGTTGAACAACGGCTCGGATGTAAATGCCCGGGACGAACATGGGTTTACAGCATCACACTGGCTGATATCATTTTCCCATGGTGAGAAGCAGACCATTGCCACATCGTTGGGGGCTGAAAACGTGGATCCCAACGTATATGGGCTATGGCCAGAGGCTTTAAAAGAAGGCCCACCGAATCTCCACGGCGGACCGGCCATTAACGGCGCACCCCTACATTGGGCGATAGCTTGCAGTGATCTTGCTGCTGTAGAACTGCTTATTGGCATGGGAGCGTCCGCGTCTCAGTTGACGCAGTATAGGCCAACACCTTTGGAATACGCCTGCAGACTTAGTGAAGCTAGCATCTTGCTCCGGCTACTGGAAGATGCTGCCACGAAGCTAGCAGTTGCCGAGTATCTTCCGCTACAAGGCTCTAGTGGTATGATCCAGATCAATGCTCTTTTCTGGGTATTGTGTGGGACTTCTCAGCTGGCAAGATTGATAAGACACGGTCGTGACTTCGATAAAAAGACCGAGCAGACGATCAGGTGTCTCATCGAAGCTGGATGCTCCTGCGAAGGTGTTTTACTCGCTCAATCATCGAAAATGTCAGCGCCATTTGCGACTGCGTTTCATCACTGCAATGCCGAAATCATGCGCGCTGGGCTAGCTCATGGCTTCGCACCGTACATTGACACAACATTTGGTAAAGCAGCATCTGGGGGTCCAGCAATGTCGCTAGCCCTTGCCCATAGAGATAGAAAGATGTTTCAGTATCTTTTGACAGCTGGGGCATCGTTGACATGGCGAAACTTGAATAAACAGCCTCCATTGTCAATGGCAGCGAAAGAAACCGATGATGAATGGTTTGCAGAACGGCTCCTAGAGAAGGGTGTCGAATTGGATGACACTGAAGGCCCTATCACGGCTTTTTGGACTGCCGTCTACTGCGGGAACCTGAACATGGCAAGATTTCTCTGGGAGAAAGGGGCAAAGAGGGACAGCAGAAACAAACTGAATGGAACAACAGTACTTGGCCAATTGGTTGGTTTCCGAACACAAAACGCATCAGAGAGAATTCGATTCATCCTCGACCTCCCCGATCGTGACGAGGGAGATGGATTTGAAGTCCTACAATCCACCGACTACAACCATGACAGGATTTCTGCTTTGCACTTGGCATGTAGTCCTTATGCATCCACCGCTCCCTTCACAGAAGATCCTGAGACTGAAGAGGGATGTAGACTAGTATTATCCCTCCTTCTGCGCAAATTTGGAGCGCCTGAATACGTCAACAGCACACTCGGACCACACCACGACGTACCACTCGGTCTTGCCGTCGAAATCGGAAACCATCACGCAGTTCGCCTCCTGCTCGAAGCCGGTGCAGATCCTAATGCCCAAGACGAGTACTCTCGTACACCCCTTGACAAGCTCTATTGGCGCTACTGCTACCCGGCGACACTCGATGTTCTTGTTGAAGTACGAGATGACAAACGCAAGGTAGCTCAAAGACTCGCCTATGTGAATCGAAACACCTCAGAGGTCTTGAGTCTGCTGACCAGCTACGGTGCAAAGGCAAATGTCTTCCGGTTTCCTTCGTGGCATCAGTCAGATCCGGGATATCGCTCGCCAGACTGGGTCCTAGCGAGGCTTCAAGAAAACGCTGAGAGGCCACCTGTTGATCACACAACGCCTATGTGGGGCGGTATGCCGATCTCCATTCCAGAGCGTCCAATGCAATTTGAGGCCCGAAGGCGTCTGGCCGAGCAGCAGGAAGCTAAGAACGAGAAGGCACAGGCATAAGGCCGCGAGGCAAATAGAGTCCGACACCGAGGACTGTGGAAGGCAGAACTAAGGTGCTAGAGAGTGGTGGTACGGGAGAGTAGGGCCAACGGACATGATCAGATGGCATATGTCAGTGGTGAGTGCACTCCAGTGAGTTGTCATAAGAGTTGTATTTAGGTATGTCAATATTATCTTTACACTAGAACGTCTTTTATTAAATGTTCTAACATAGTATTTGTCCTCATTTCAATGTAGCTTTATGAAGAACCAACCTGGAATTTCTTAGATTACAAGCCCGTTGATATATTGATTGAACACTGACGGAGATACCCTACATCATTATACTTCCATTTTCTACGACATCACATTACGGTGCAGGATGAAACATATTCCTATAAAACTTTTGGTGTTCTTCTGGCCAAGACTGCAGCAGGATTATTGTACTAAATTGGGGGAGTACTATTCTTAATAAGGAAGTCAGCTCATTCAGTATAGGGGCTAGATTGTCACTGAGATGCTCCGTTGCAGCGGCAAAATAGCGCTGGTCAACTACTTATGACGCACGCCTCTGTAGCTGCACCACTATTGGCACGGTCATGGTGGGAGCACCGCTCAGTCATCTTGCAAGTGCCACCTCGAATGATCATGGTACCACCGTATTTGAGGAGCAGTTGCCTAATGACTTAGTCCGTGAAACCAAATGAGTCTTCGATATTGTCATGGCCGATACTCCTCAGCCTCAGGTCACGACTGTTGTCAAACCAACAGCCTCCACGACATTATCAAATGGCGACGTTGATAACAAGCATTCGTATCCAAGGACCATCGATATTGATAGGGTCATGTTCATTACACTCCCAGGGCCAAAGGTAGTAAGTATATACCTCGTATCAAATATATGCTGATTTCATCAGCTCCGTCTAACTGATATTCGACGCCCACAATCCTTGGTGACTGTGATACCAGTCTTGCGTCAGGATGCTCCTGTGGAAGAGCAGTGGCTCAAGAATTTCATTGCCAAATATGAGACATGCGATGATGTTTTCTCTAATAAGTTTCTCAACGGAATTATTTTTATCGCCCCGTTCAGTCTTGAAGTTACACCTGAAGCACGCAGATTGCTTGAGTTTAAGGGGAATTCATGGATAGAGATACTGAAAATCAAGGAGACAGAAGTTCTTCTGCCCTCGGGACCACATATTATCTTTGAACAGGATGTCTTTGAGATCCGGAGGCTCTATGAAGATTCTCAAGGTGCCTTTGTGACCTCTATCGTACCTGGATCAAGTGGGTAAGCTTACGTGCATTTCCGTAATTGGATTTGCAAAGACAAGCTGACTTCAGTATTCACAATTAGTGGACATTTACCCCTTCGACTTGGTGGTGAGCAAAGTCAAACTTTCGGTATTGCAGTTCCGTCACGTTTTCATCACGCTATTCCCTCTCGACTTAGTGGCTGGAGGATCGCAGTGAAAGATATCTTCTCGATTCAAGGTATCAAAACTTCAGTTTGCAACCGAGCTTACTATTCATTGTACCCACCCGCACTCCAGACAGCTGATTGCATCAAGCTCTTGGAGAAAGAAGGCGCCTCGGTGCTGGGGACGACGAAGCTAGCATCCTTTGCAGCAACTGAAGAGCCCGTTGAGTGCGTTGACTATCAAGCCCCCTGGAATCCTCGAGCCGATGGATACCAGTCGCCAGCAGGAAGCAGTAGCGGAAGTGGTGTGGCGGTTGCTTCGTATCCGTGGCTGGACATATCGATCGGCTCCGACAGTAAGTCACTTTAGCAACCAAATTTTCTTATTCGGCATGACTAAGTAACGAATATCAGCAAGTGGAAGTGGTCGGAGACCCGGTCATTGGAATGGATGCTATGCCATGAGGCCATCTCACGGAGTGCTTCCTGCAGCAGGCTACATTCCCAGTTTCAAGTTTGTTCCACCCTGCCCATATTATCGATCCGCTTTCTAATGATGCTGGATGGCCGGAACAGGCATTTTGATACACCAACCTTCTTTGGAAGGGATATCGCAAAATGTCAGGAGTTTGCGGATGTCTGGTATGGCAAAGAATTGCCAGGTGGTCGGGAACCAGTGTGTATTATCATCTCTTGCTATATCAGTACATCTCTAACTCTGCGCCCAGCTGGCTCCATCTCTTGTTTATCCCACCGATTATATGTCCATGATATCCAACAAAGACCAGCTCAATGTCATTGACAAATTCACAGCTGATCTGGAGTCGTCTTTGGGGGTGCAGCATACGAAATTGTCCTTCGATAAACTTTGGGATGTCGATCCGCCGGAAGAAGCCAAAGGAAGGACTCTCCAAAATTACATGAACAGAGTAAAAACCCTGTTCCTGTTCAAAGAGCTGAAGTGATGACCAACGAAAGGCATGCCGGGATTCGTTTTTCTATGACGACTATCACAACTTCGATGAATTCAGAGGCGAGTACCAACGCAAATTCTCGAAAGAGCCTTATGTGAGCCCACCCGTTAGATGGCAATGGTGAGATCAAAAGATAGCTAAACTTATTTCTTGGATTATTTACTTGTCTCTTACAGGGAATTGTCCGCGACGATCACGAAGCAACAAAGGGACATTGCTGTTGACCGATTGGCAGTCTACGGAAAGTGGTTCTCCGAGAAAGTCCTGAAGGTGGGAACGATGGACACTATAGTAATAATACCAATCGAGAATATCTCGCCTCGATATCGCGACGAACCATTGGTGTATGGCCTTCAATCACAGACAAATCCTGTTCTTGAGCTACGCTCGCCTGCTGACCCGAATTTTTCAAGCAATCGTTTCAATCCCGAGGGAGTTCCAATGCTCTTTCTATCACCAATCCTTAAGGCGCCCGAATTCACTGTTCCAGGTACGCACCCATCCCCTCGTTATGTATCCAAAATCGAAAAATTCTCATCCTTAATCCGTTGTTTCAAGTTGGTGAAGTTCCATTCCACTCCAAAGTCACAGGGTGCACGGAGCATCTTCCAGTGGCAGTTTCTCTACTTGCATGTCCAGGTAAGGCCCTTGAGAACGGACTGCTGTCAAATCTGGAAGCTCCTCACTGAGAAAATTGGCATTTTGTGTAGGTCGTGATATCGAGCTGATCAAGTTGACTCACAAATGCTTGCTAAAAAGTGGGAGACCTACAAGTATATTGGCTGGTAGAAAGATGTTTTCTTGAGGAGTACTTGGGATATGGCTGCATGTTATTCCCCATTACAGATAACAATCAGTTTAGACAACCGTTGTAGAGCAGTATGAGCTCAATGCATGGATTGGGTGTGTGTATAGCTATGGCTCTGCGGTGTAGGCTTTTTCTGATGCTGGCATGGAAGGTCTGTAACTCGTGGTTCAGTGGTATAGGATCTCGATGGGGTGCTCTGGACGATATGGAGCTAGGGCTCAGATTTCGTTACGGCTGTTAACTCTGTTTAGGGCGCTTGATAATTCGAAATATCTCTGAATGACAGTCAAAGCACCTTTATAGTTGATGGTCAGGGTGGCCAAAAGAGAGATTGGATGGTGCTAATGTTCAGGTAGTCGCCTCAGTCGTTGTAGGTTCCAGACGCAGGCAAAGGTCCTCACTAGGTGAGGCCAGCACAAACTCACTGCTCTGGCAGTATCCTTACATCAGAAAGAAAACAAAGCACTGCGTGATCACGATTTCCGGCTCGTGGGACCAGTTGGAGAGCAGTAGAGCTCAATGCATGAATTGGGTGGGTGTACTTCGTAAAGCTACCCAGCTCGCCCTGAACAGATAGAGCAGCATAACGCGAGTACAGCCCCGCGCGAAAGTATCGGACCAAAACGCGTTATTTTTGAACACGCGTTTTTTTACACCCTGTTTCAAGCAACTCCTATGGCTCAACGCAAGGCTCTGGCGCCTCTTGAAATTAACAGGAGCTATGGCAAGGAGTTATCTCCATACCAACGAGGTCAAATTTCTGCGTACAAAGCTATGGGGTTGACAAATCAAAAGATTAGTCAAAATTTGCAATGCGGCAAATCCATCATTTTTAATACCCTTGCTCAAAATCCACTGCGCAATCAAGGCAACAGCTTGCCCCGTTCAGGACGCCCCCAGACGTTGAATAAGGTTCAGAAACACAATATTCTACGTCCTATTCGTGTTAATCCAAAGGCCACTTATCAAGAAATCAAGTCTGAAGTTGGTATTAGTATCTATTAAAAGACTATCTATTGAATCCTCAAAGACGAAGGCATTACTAATTAGTTAGCCAAAAAAAAGACCTTTATTGACTCCTTAATTAGCTACTAAACGACTTAAATAGTGTCAAGAACGAAGAAATTAGATATGGGCTAAGTGAAGCAAGATCATATTTAGTGATGAATGTTCGCTTAAAAGAGCCAGTAGAGCGCGTCGAACATGGGCCTTTTGTATACCACAATAACGTTGGAATTCTGATATAATTAATACATATAAGAAGGGCAAAGATATCAGTGTTATGATATAGGGTGCAATTCATAGAGAAGGTCATTCGGATATTATATTATTAGAGCGTAATCCTAATTCAGAGAAGTCAGGATACACTGCCAACTCTTATTTGGCAGTACTTCATGAGCAGATGCCTCGACTGTACGAACCAGGGCGCAAATTCATGCAAGATAATGCCCGAATCCATACTGCAAAGAAGATTATCAATTGGCTTCAAGAGGAGGGCATAGAATTGATGGAATAGCCAGCCTATAGTCCTGATCTCAACCTAATTGAACACCTCTGGGCGCAACTCAAGCAATGGATCAATAATCACTATCCAGAGCTAATTAATATAGGCAAATTGGAGGAGGATTATTAACGTCTGTTCAGAGCAATTTATGAGGGTTGGGATGCTATAGGAGAAGAAGCTGTGGCCAATCTCATTAAGAGTATGGATAGTTAAGTGAATGCGGTCATTGCGGCTAAAGGATGGTACACCAGATTCTGAATATCGATTGCCTATTTAGGAAAATAGCCCAGCCTCAATCTCTGGATGTTTCTGAACATTCTGAGCCGTTTTTCATCAGAATCCATCAAGTTGGTAACTTACTATGGTAAATTGTATGAAGATGGTCCAAAATGTTGGTGGGGTCTGAAAGTGTGGGGTTGGTCCGATACTTTTGTCCTAGTATTGTACTACAGTAATCCGAAGGCGGGATGCACCTAGAAACCTGCTAACGTACCTGACCCAGAAGCGCAACAGGTCCAGAAGTGCAACACTGCACTAGCGCGGGATCTCAATTCCGGCCGCAAATTCAAGCCATCAATTTCAGCTCACCGCCGTTCAACGAGTATTGATCTAATGATAGTGAGCTTTTGATATGTTGTTCGCAGAGATAAGTTCTATATCCTATCAAATTATGGCTGATGCATTTGCTGATTTGCCTAAGGAGGAGCGTATCAAAAAAGCTATTGATGCATGCACTCAAGAACGTACTTAAGAACGTAGATTATCAGCAAGAAAGGCTACGAAAATCTACAATATAGCTCCCTCTACTATTACTCGGCGCATTAATGAGCAAACGAAGCCAAAGAGTCGCTCTTATCAATCTAAATAGCTTCTAACGCCTGTTGAAGAGCGTACACTTGTGAGATGGGTAATACAATACTACAAATGGGGGTTACCACTTGCTTTAAAGCATATTCGTCAATTCGCGCTCGAAATCCTTACTCGCAAATACCCTTAATTAGAGAGCAGCAAACCTTCTCTAGGAGATACTTGGCATAGAAAGCTACTTAAACGACACCCTGAAATCAAACGAGTAACTATCCGTGGCCTTGATCGAACACGAGCATCTGCATCTCTCAAGATAGAGACTCTTACGGAGTATTTTGAGCTCTATCACTCCTTACAACAGAAGTACAATATTGCGCCGCAAGATACGTACAATATGGATGAAAAGGGGTTCTGTATGGGCGCTATTCAACGGTCAAATGCTGTTATTCCAGTAGGAGGAAGAGCAGCATTTCTACGTCAAGATGGAAACAAGGAATAAGTCTCTGTTTTAGAGACTATTTTCAGTCCATCAAAAGGCTAGTTGGTATCAACAACTTGATACGCAAAGCGCAAAGATAGCTACAAGCCCTAAGGGATGGACTGATAACCATCTCGGATTTCTATGGCTTTCTGAGCATTTCGACGTTGAAACAGCTAAACAGCAAGTTGGCGAATATCGACTACTTCTTCTTGATGGCCACGAATCATACTGTACGCTTGAATTCATCGAATTCTGCATTGAAAAGAAGATAATTCTGCTGGTACTGCCTCCTTACACAACTCACTTGTTACAACTACTTGACGTTGCTATTTTCGCGCCTCTCGCAAGATATTATAGTGCTGAAGTTGAGGATTACTCTCGAGAGAAGCACTATTAGCTTGAAAAGGAGGATTTCATTTAATACTATCAAACTGCTCGAAAAAAGGCTTGCTATTTTCGCGCCTCTCGCAAGATATTACAGTGCTGAAGTTGAGGATCACTCTCGAGAGAAGCACTATTGGCTTGAAAAGGAGGATTTCATTTAATACTATCAAACTGCTCGAAAAAAGGCACTTCGAGAGAGTAATATCTACTCTGCATGGAGGAGCACAGGGATCTTGCCTTATAACCCACAAACAGTTATTTCGAAACTGCCAAATCGACCTGTTACCCCCCCTGAATCGACTCAAATTCAGCTTATCCTTAATGGTAGCTCTCCTCTTAACCTCCTTATTGGCGCAGATCACGATTATATCACCAAGGCTATGCAGGCTATCAAAGATACAATGCTAGGGAGCCCTGCAGAGCATGCTATTCGGACTATTGAATTTCTCAATGCTAACAATGCTATTTTGAGCAAAACGAATGCCCAATTGGTAGCTACTGCGCGCGCTCGTCAACAGGCCAAAAAGACTAAGAAGGTTATTGGCAAAGCACGCTTACTCAGCAAAGATGACGCTGATAAGTTACGTATGGAAGCAGAGGCTAAGGAGGCAGCTGATATAGCACACAAAGCTGCTATGGAGCAGAAGAAGAGGGAGCAAACGCTCAAAAAGGCGCAAGAGGAGGCAGATAGAGCAGAACGGGCATCTCTGCGTGCTCAGGCGAAGAACGCACGCGAAACGCAGGCTGAAATGGCTCGATTGGCCAAAATCAAGCAGTGTTTGTTTACATAATGCCTATTTGAGCTATTCCAATAGATCCTATCTCAAGGAGAGCGCCAGCGACGTTGTTATAATGTAGAATTCCGAATAGTGCTCTCTGACCCAAAATGCCAAGCAAATTGCGTTGCACTTCTGGACCTGTTGCACTTCTGGGTCAGGTACGTTA